TAAAGAAAACGTCGAAAAAATCTTATTAAAAGTAATAATAAATTCCGAAAAATATTACTTTAATTTCAATTCAAATTTTTAACTACACTAGATCTCATTATTCGAACCGGAAGATATTTAAAACCATTATAAATGATTTCAGAGTATCGTAAATGTGTTATCTTTGAAAATAATTTAAGAAACAATAAACGCGCGATGAATATACCGCGTATACCGAACGGAGCTCATTACTAGCAAGCTATAAAGTTCGAACCGCCATCTTTGAGCCAAGATGGCTAATAGCTAGGTTTAGTAATTAAAAATCTCACTTTTATGACATATGCATCTAAACAATACGTTTTATTTTATTTATGAAACGATTTATGTAAGTCAGGCATCATTTTGAAATTACGTAAGCATTATACGTAGCCATACTTAATTAGCTAGAGTAATTAATTTGATTACAAACGCTGGCTCGAACAGAGAATACGCGGGTAATTTAAACAAGCGTATAAGAAAAGCAGTATAGACTTAGGCTCGCGTAAAGATATACGTTACTTTTGAAGTCGGCTAAAGTAATATTCGCGTTTTAATATACTGGCAGATCCTTAGAAAATTTCAAGCCGTTAAGTCGTGTAATGTTTAGTTTTACAGCCGGCCGCGGGGCCGCCATTAGCACTTCAATGTTGACACTTCACTTCCTCTAGATCTCTTTGATAAAGTTCAGTACAGACGCTCGTTGGGACTTAATGCTGATGACGTTTATAACACACGACACGATCACGACACGATTTAATATATTATACGATTATTTATACAATACGATTAAAATGATTATAATTTTATTGGTGTTAATTTAAAAAGTATATACATATGTTGTCTCTAAAATATTTATATTTTTACTAGTTATTTTTAATAGTAGGAATAATTTTATATTACATTAAATATCACTAGTTGGAAACACTATGACCGTTTATATAGCTCATACAAGGAAATATGCATTCCATGTAAAGGAAAAACATAGGACTTCCCAAACATACGATAAACAAGTATCGTAATATATTCATTTAACTAAACACGAAAAATAATACCTACATCACCTATAATAACATACACAATTAAGAAAAAGTTAATGTGTAGCCAGTTTTTAATACAATGGACGAAAAACAAAGAAAGCGTCATACAATTTTTAAACTTTAACGAGACCAATGAATAGGGATGGGACCTATCTTTCACGTAATTTTAATTTCAAGACTATTCCAATAGCATTAATTACCGGTTATTTCAAATTTGTAGTGTATTTTCACACCCGTGACTGTACTATTGATTAGCAAAATTAATATTTCATATTCATTGACTTCTGTCATTGATTTGTGTTAATGATATTTATTTGATATAATAAAACAATACATAAGACGGCTAACAGGATAAAATATACTTTAAATATCGTAGTAATAACTAAATTATTACTTAATTATTAGTTTTATTTTAAAGATTTTTTTTATATTTTCCTATTAATCTTCATATTGGTTAGCTGATTTTAAACTATACAAATCACATCAATAGAAATCCCGTACATTAGACAACCGATTATCATATTGTCATATGTCACGTCATCTGACATCTGTCAAATGTCATTGAAAAAAGTCAAGAATCGAAGAACTGCATCCAAACATCCCCGCTACATTGGCAGAATGTAATATATTATCTTCTATATATATATAAATGAATTGCTGTTCCTTAGTCTCGCTAAAACTCGAGAACGGCTGAACGGATTTATCTTATCTTAGTCTTGAAATGTTCGTGGAGGTTCAGGGAAGGTATAAAAGGTGAGAAAAATTGGAATAATTGCCGGGAAAACCCTAAAAACAGCCCTTTTCTATTTCCCATACAAACGTTTTCTTTGACATTAGATTTGACAACTAACAAATATGTCAATCATTCTGTTGATTGAAACAGGAGAAACCTGATTATTAATGGCTTCTAAAACGGAATAATGACGAAACTAACGCGGACGAAGTCGCGGGCAAAAACTAGTTGTTGATAAATAAATTAAATAATTATTAATACAAGTAATGAATACTTAAAGCAGCGCGAACCTCCATCAGGGGACGTCGTATATAGCACAGATATAGTATGTATGCGAACAGTGTAAGACGGGCGACCGCAGCGGACAGGCTTTGTGTTGGTTCGTTGCTAAATTACGATGAGTTTACAGTCATGAGCGGAGCGGGAGCGATGACAATACTTTCATTATAATCATATATTTATTTTATAATACTATGTAAAACATAATCATTTTATTTTCATGACTTAAATTTCAATTGGATTAAATAAGTATACAAAAATATTTGTAACAGAAAATGAGTCACGAATTCATAAAACTATGACCAAAATATTATTAAAAATTAAAATATATTATTTATTTTATTTAATATCATGGTACAAGTCCGCTCAACTAAGCACCTATCCTATATCGTGGTAGAGGGCGTCAGATGGTCGTATTTTGGCCGCCACGGTCCACAACCTTCAGTTTATACAACGCCATATACACAGCTCACCTTCTAATGGCTCATACAACTGGAATTCACATCCTTTTCAATATAAACAATACATTTAAAAAAAAAATATCACAGATACAAAATAATACGGTAAAATATATTTTTTATCTGTCCTCATATTTAATGTTTAAAATAAAAATTTAATTCATTAATTAATAATGTTTGCAATATAATAATAATCTCTAAATCTTTACTCAATACGCCAATTCCTTATCAGATAAAGCATAAACAACTGTCAACGGGATTGGTTATATACAAATTTCGTAGTCCATTGGTCTGTATACCGTTATATACCGTTATATACCGTTATATACCAGTATATACCGGTATATATGTATGGTACATACGTAGCGAGGCGCGAGCGCTTTGCTCTCGGCCGAGCTTAACGCTCTGCCTTCTAATGACGACGTTAGATAAGCCTGAGGACACACTGACGGACGAAACGATTATATAATAAATATTATATTTTAATTTAATATTGTTTCATATATTTTAGTATGGTTATATAATAAAAATGGACACATTAATTTTTTTCGCAAATTTTTTGTAATTTTTTGACATACTTAACTTAATAGAAAGTTTATAAAGATTATCTATAATTTATAATCTTGTTTTAAATATATTTTATTTTACCCATTAATAACAATTACCATAGCACATCAGTCAGTGTGAACGCACCCTAACTCTCCATAGAAATGGTCGAAGCTCGTGACGTGTATGGCTTAAGATATATACCCTGTCCCCGAACGCCCTGATTTAGAGTTCCTATCACTGGAACACCTAACACGTTAATTGTTTATACACTCCACAATACACTATGTCCACACACGTAATAAATAAAACATATATAATCTATTTATTTTTTAATCTGTATTAATTTCCCGCCAATTTCAGTCTACAAACAATGAACATCTTTGATATTGAAAACATATTATCTGTCACCACAATAAAATTTATCCTACATTTAAGGAGTTTATGAGAGAGTAAATAAACAAAAGCGTACAACGAGACTGAGACTCAATTTTACTCATTATGCTCTTTATGTTGTAGGTATTAAGAATTTTATTTTCTTCTCTCCGTCCGTTTAATTGGTGCATGGGATTATGGTCTCTGTTTTGTTAGCAATATGGGTGGTTATGGCTTGTATGTGTTGCAGTGTATTTCGAGACATACATAGTTGACCTAGTTGCCGTGAGCCGTGTACGCCCGACCGCACGTGTTTGGTTCTATCTATGTTTTGTATATACACTAACTAGTGATACAAGCTATAGTTAAACCAGAATAATACAAGATGATTACTCTAACATTTAGACTGAAAATAATTTAGTTAGTAGATATAAAAACTTCTTTGAGGATATAAATTGACATTTCATAAATGTCACTTTTGACAGATGTCTAAATTAAAATATATTTTCATTTTTTATCTGTCTAAAGTTTTCTATATACATTCCAACCAATATTATATTCGGATACGTTAAATTCTTTTAACATCTAAATTTCTCGTTTAGCCTAAAGGTCAAAGTCAAACGCTTATTTTCCATCAGCTGTTTTTTTCAGTTTATATCTTTCTGTCAAAGTTTCGTGGCGGAACATTTAGGAGCTTAAAATCTTAATTTTACATTTAGTATTTCTTATTAGATACAATGATCGATGAATAATGTTTGCTCGATAATTATTTCATGTTTAGAATACAGGAATAAGACTAGTGTGGATAATACTGTCTTTGAGAAACTCAGAAAAAAATGGTTTATAATTTATTTCAAAATCTTTTTTATTAGGCAGGTACATTAGAATTATTTGGTAATCATCTTCGATTGACAACCGAAGCGATGTTAATTCGCAAATAAGTGTGAAAAACTTATGCATTTAGTTCAATACAAAGTTCATGAAATATTCTGACAATGTGTAGTAAAATGACAATTTTACTTTTAAATATTTTCTTTATTACAGCGTCACCGTATCTAAGGTATTTAAATACAATTTTTATTTGAGGTTAAAAATACAAATATCTCAATTTGTATGAATCCTTTTCACCTACCGAGGAATGAGCTTCTGCTGCCATTGCTCAGCCCGACACCATGAAGCATAGTAAACTATCATACATATGAAATAATTAACAAATTACAATTAAACAATTATTTAAATAATTAATTAGTTTACTTACAGAAGTCCAACAAACAACTAAAGTCAACTAGTAACTTACAAACAAAACCTTTTACAATACTATAAAATTCAACAAAAGCGAACCGTCACACGAACGAAGAATAAACTAAACGCAATCCAAAAACCATTCATACATTCACTCACACATTCATTCATTCATTCATTCAAATAAAATCATGACAACATTATAATAAGAATGAACTCCCCCGCTTTTTTAAATAAAGAACAACAGCTCTGACAGCACCGGCCGATTACACGATGCCATAAATTATGTTGAAACGTAATAAAACTAAATGCATGAAACAAATCGTCGACAACGAAGGGGTTGCGCGGGGGAGGGGCGCGGGGGGTACAGCGGGGGTGCGGGGGGGTACAGCGGGCCCGGCGCGGGGGGAGGGGCGCGGTCTACAACTCTACTACGGCACTCTCGGTTTCATTCATAACTTTTTACAAGTTTATCTGCGGCGATACCTCCTACATATTTATGTTTGCGACTCACGTCAAAGAATAATATTTTTATTGAGATGTAATTTAATTTTTTTTAATTTGATACTTTTTTTGTGACATTTAATTCGACTTCATGTTAAGAGATGAATTTGTTGATGCAAATTTTAGTTTTTGTGATTTATTTATTCATGATTCATCTGATCAAAGAAAATTTGTCTTCGGTTCAGGAATATTTATGTCCGATTTAAATTGCAACGAAACTAATTTTATGTCTAACTGAATCAGTCATATGTTCATTTTAAAAACAACGCCATCTATTGGAAGTTTTTAGCTATCGGCCTCGATAAATAAATTAACAAGCAAGAAAGTAGATTGTATGTATACATATACATACATATATTATAATAGTATCAAAAAGGTGACTGAATTAATTCTAAAAAAGAAATAAAATATTTATAAGCTGTTGTTTACCGAAACCATAATAATTCCATGAAAGAATTAACATTATAAATATATCAATTAGGTCAAATTATACTTCACAGAGTATAAAAATATTTAGGTACAATTAAGAACATTCAAATAGCATCTGTCATTAATATAATCTATGACGAACTCCCACAGACGCAGTTACGATACACACATTTATAAATTGAAATAAAGTTTGTTTTAGTTGGGCGATGGGCTTCAATGAAAGTGAAAGGCCAGTTTAAAATGGTTGATTGTTATCAAAACATTTACTTTTTGTTTCGTAAACTTTCCTAGAGTTGTTTTTTTTTTTTAATTTTATTATATGACATTCTTCATTGCCAGTATTGAAAGATATTTTGATGAAATAATTAATCTATTTATTGATTTATTATTGAACGGGGCATAGTCTTAAAATCGTAAAACAATACCAGAATACTATATTATATAAAATTTACTATATGTATATTCCATTTTCGATTTTCTTAGTCCAAGGTCGATAAACGCGACTAACTATTAAAATAATCCAAACTTTTTCAATAAACGTTTAAAATTTATTACTGTATATTGCATTATGCATATATATTTTAAACCCGTCGGTCGTTTACAAAACAAAGGCATCAGTCAAGATTGATCTGAAGGCTGCGAATCCTGAAACTCAGAACAATGGCCGGTCCGCAGACTCGCCGTGCAATTTGCATGCTGAAACAAAAATATATACTCCTTTTACCATCCTTTCGGGAGTGTTTAAAATTTTAAAGCTGGCAACATTAATTTGCTCCTATACATATCTACGTATGTTTATCCCTTACAAAACAATAAAAAAAAGACACTATCGCTTGATTATGAAAGTATTGCTATAAAATTACATATGTATGATGATTTCGTCAAAGGAAAGATCTATTGAATGTCATCCATAGTCAAGATGTTGCTAAATTTGGTGCGATTATATAAAAAAGACGTAAGGTACACGACCGTACTAGCGTGACGAGGGCGTCGCGGGGGCGGGGGCGAGGGGCGAGGGGTCATCAGGCCGCCCTTGGGAAGGTGAGGCGACAATTAACGCGCGGTCATTACTCCACGAGCCCTGGCTGCGTGTCAACGATTCCGATCGCGCGATAAATATGAGCGGACGGCTGACGGCTAGATGTTGGGAAACGGACTTATCGATACTTAATGTTGCTTCTGAGTCGATAGAAAATGATCTATCGATATCCGCCAATCACTAGTTTGACTGTCAAATAAGTTGTAGTATGACGTTAAATAAGATACGTATTACCACCAAAGTACCATAATTATCATTATTAATATGTTTATTGTATAAATAAAACTATTAAGACAACCCTTAAACATTTAACAAACTTCGTAAAATCACTAAAAGGATGCGACGCTTAGACTTAGCGGCTTTGCCAAAATTTCTTAGTGTAATAACAACTCCGTCTTATTTATTCTGTACCAACAGATTTATATCAGCGTAATTAACACGTTTACATCTCAAGCACATTTAAATGAGTTAAATAAATTCCATGGCGATTTCGAAGCTAGATAAAAAAATATATTAAAACACCAAATAGGTTATATATATTATAACAAATAGATTATAAATGACACGGTATCGAATATTCAGCCAGGATTTCTTTTTTTATATAAAACCTTTTTATATATAATATATTTAGGTATTCCTTATTGAAGGTATATAAGGTGTAATGGATGTTTGGAGACGTGAATAGCACAGGTGGCGTTCGACGCGGACCATCGATCTCGGTAAAAATACGATAATGCCGTGTATTGCCTACAACGCATTCGGGTGAGCGCATAGTGGGGACGGAAGAGGGTAGCGGAGCGGATTTTGTTTTGTATGATTTTGTATAACTTCATATTGTAAGAAAAAATTAACTCAATTATTAAATGGCTTTCACCAATGACTATATAGTAGCAAATAAATGGTGAATTTAGTTAAAGTTGTAAAAAATTTGTGATACGTTTAACTCTCTATGTATCATGTGACCATATTAGTCATTTATACGACACTTTTTTTCATATTTTCAGAATTTTTTATTACATAAAAAAGTATTTTATGTAATAAGAATGTTTTTTTTCCGTCGTCACAGTGTACACACCGTATAATGCCTACACGCGGCAAAAATACACGCGATTCGTGGCCGTCAGCGATAACAGAGACCCGGCGGCCGCCCACGAGACTCACACAACAGACGCTACATACACACAATATACACAGAATCAGCACATCATTAGCGCTTACTTTAAATAACCACGGAAAAGCATCCAAGTAGACGCGTCACCTGACTGAAACACCTCAATATCAGATAGTCTTGCTAAATTGAACACTGCAAGCGGCGGATCATAAAAATAAAGCAGAACTTGATTAAACCCGCGTCGGTTTTATGAGGACGACGTACTTGTGATCGCTGGAGTTGAGTTTAGTTTTTCAGTCTAGCAGATCCCTCCCCCACGCTCGTAAACTAAACGGAGATATAGGACTTAATGGCTAATCGGATTTTGATAAGCGAAGGCCGGCGACGCGGGCCCGCTGCCGAGTTAAATTTGAATAGATAAGTACGGAGGACCGTCATTTACATACTTACTGGCTCACGCCGAACTCCTAGGGCGCCGAGTTATAGAGGAGGTTGAGCGATAAAATTGATATAGCGCCCGGTCATCGATTCGACGCCGCTGAGCTGTTTTTCAGCGTTGTTTGTTATCGTACTTTTGTCTTTTTTTTCGTTTCGCGTAATCGCTCCACGAGTCACGTAGCTACAAAGCACAGGACAATTTTAACAACTCACTCCGCTTTCCAATTCCTACCGCCGCGTAAATAATGTCCCGTTCTTTGACATTTAGGTCGCCTGTCTGTGATCAGTGGACTGTTTTTTTGTGTATGATTACAATGCTGAATGCTCTATTTATACCGAATATATAGTGTATTAATTTTAGTTTTGTAAGTTATCCCTTTCGCATCTGGTCTAGTGGATGAACCCATAGAAACGATTATATCGTACGTTGACCGCTATTAATAGATCTCTCCCTCGTCACGCTTCGTGATGGAGTGACGTTCAGGTAGACTGGTCGCGAAAGGTTGAGGTTCGATAATGGGTGAGCCACCCTCCGGCCTTCTCCACCCCGCCTCGGCATTTGTATAGTTTGACGGGTAGGGCCATCAAAACATCTCTGGCCGCTGTGACTTTGTCCGAGTAGTCGAGGGGTCTCTCCCTGAGTCGTGGCAGGTATCCCGACTGGGGCACGTCGCGGCTCGATAACAAGAGAGGGTCGCCTCCCTACTTCGTGTGTGTTTACTTTGTCAGATAAAACGCGCGGTGCCTACCTAACAACTAATGACAGACGCGGGAAACTAACCAACGGTATTGTGGGAAATATTACGTATTAACACAAGTAAGTATATTGAATTGAACTAAAATAACCATTCAACAAGTAACCCAAGTCCCAAAACTTAATACTTGCCATAAAAAATACATTGAACCTAATAAAAAACCAATTTACAAAAGAACACGGTATCAAAGCTATAAGTACATATGAAGTAAAGTTAAACTAAACAAGATTACAAATATACATCACGAACGATAGATCGACAATTAAATTAACAAGATGTTTGGAGCCAATTCATTTGGATGAAGACCCCTGTTAGATCCCTCACAAGTTTGACACAAATTGAATATCAAAATTTTACCTTAACAACTTAAAAATAGCTATAAAAAAACAATATTTTAAAAACATTCAATAGTTTTAACCCTTTCCAAAATATATTTCTATCTAAAATGCTTATAAATTCTTCTCCTCAAGATAAAACATTGGTTTAAACTCAGTTTAAAAGGAACAGATAATTCTAATGATTCTACACTTTAATTTTTTTTATTCACAGCTTCAAATAACACCGATATCTTTATAGCGGCTTACGGCTGTACTATAAAACTACCTAATAGGAATGACCCGACCTCCAACTTACTATTTCTACCTTATCAAATCCTACCAACCTTACTATTCTTAGATAACTTTCTTTATATTAAGTTATTAGAATTTAACATTAAGTGCATTAAAAATAGGAAGAATATTTCCTTAATTAAATAAAAATGAATTAAAAAAACGATCTAATTTTCTATATATAATTTGAAAGCGTTCCCAGAAATATCTATTTCGATGCTAGAATGTGTTTTTCCTATCTTATATATTACTTCGGAGACAAAGGAGAATCTAGCGTTTAATTTATACGCATTTTTAGGAAATTTTAAGATAAATTCATTTAACATATCGTCTGTGAGAACTAAATTATTCTCATCTTTATTAAGTCAATCATAATACGTCATTGTAATGACGTCATTCGGTTTGCCAAGAGGTCATATTTAAATCCGTTTTAATTCATTATGGCAATGCATATAAAGACAAAAAATATGATATGTAACATCAACCTCTTTACGAACAAGATTTAGGTAATTATAAATATGTGTGTGTGCGTATGTGTGTTTGTTTAATGCCTATCAACCTTATAATAAATTTATTTGTATGGATTTATTTACATTGGTTTCGCGTTTTCACTCAAACTTAATTAATTAACGTACTTCATTTATAAGTATAACTTCTAAGTTAATATTCTCAAACCGCTCCAAATGTTTTTAAATGAAATAAATAAATATGAAATATAAATGAAAATACCAACAGGTTACAACAGCTATGTTCGCCTACCACAAGTTGTTTCGTCGCATTACAAAACGTCAACATTTTTTCATTCATTAATATTCGTCTCAGCATTAATTGTATAAGAAACGGGTAACGCGTCGTATGTAGTATGTGAAGCAAACTCGGATTAGGAATACTGTCTTTGTCTTTAATAAAATTTGCTACGAAATAGTACTGAAAAATAAAAATATGAACAATTATTACGGCTTTGTAAAATTTTGAACAAAAATGATGTCAAATTGGACAGTATCATCGTCGTAATTAATGCAAATATATTTAGATTTTTTATATAAAATCATATATTACATGATTTATAAAACGTAGAACTGTTCTTAATACTACTATGGGAACACAGTGTAGGGTAATAAAAACACTCTTTTTGAGAGTGATGTAACATTAAGATACTATGAAGTATAAGAAATATATATAAGTACATAAATTATACTTAAAACAAAAATCTTTTAATAAAATAAAACTGAAAATTTATAACGAAACTATTTTATAAGATCGGAATAAGAAGAGATAGAATAAATACCTATAGGTATAGGTAATGTTTAATCAAATGCATGCTTGTGATACCAACGCTGAGAACAGACAGTGGTATTCAACAACGCAAGCGAAACCGCAGGCGTGAACTAGTATAAAACATAAAGGTAGCTCAGATAACGTCCGAGCTCTGTTTAAAAGACCATCAAAGCTCGAGCGAGTAAAACGAGAACCATTCCACACTCACACTCCTACTACGGTTTATGGCTGGCAGAAATTCAACTTAATGAGACACTTACTAACTATTTACTATATATAAAACATAATAATTATTAACTTACTTATTTTATATACATAATAAAGCATATAAAATCATTTAAATTCGGTTTTATATACTAATTTAGTCAATCTGCACATAATATTTACGCGAGGCAATGAATTTAAAAGTAATTATGACTATCTATCAAAGGATAAAATGTAATATATTTGAATGCTGTTTCTCAAGTTTCTCGTTGTATATTCGGTTGTGAGCTATTTTACAGCTTGGCACCTTATCTGCGTCAAAGGGAAACTGACTTCGCTGCTCTTTTCACTCCCTTAATAAAGATTCGTAGTGCATATTTTGCGATCGTGTGCAAATATATTTTACTGAATTTAATATTTTCCAACAGCTAGATAGGTTTCGTCGACTTTCCTCGCCGTGTAATATATATTTTAAGAATTTACTTCCCGTTTATAGTCACCCTAACTGAAACCTACATATTAGTTTAACAAACAAACAAAAAGACTTAACTGAGACCAAATAATATACATTCTCAATAGGTAATTTTAATATCATAATAGATTTTATGGAAATAAACATAATAGTTAGAATTTAAAAGTAAAAAAAATACGATATTCTAACAAAGAGAACTATGATATCAATAAAATACTATTGACAAATAAAAAAAGAAGTAAAACTTGCAATTTTTTCATCTCATATACAATATTAACTCAAATATCGTTCTATGATAATAAAATAATAAATATATCTCAAAATTACGTTCATTTGAGAGTACAAATTATTCAAATTAAACAGAATGAAAGTCAGTATTAAGATATCAATATACTTAAAAATGTCTGTCATCTAGTCGTTAAGTTTACTGTACTGCATAACCAGGATACTAGCGAAGGAAATGAAGCCGGGAACAATGGGAATGCCCGGGAATTCCTGCTCCGAACTGAACCGGCATGTACCCACTCCTGTGCTCTTTGGATCATAATACCTATTGTAAGTAATATACAGTTGTCCATGAGAATTTGGACTGTTCCTCGTTAAAAACTGTGAAGTCAAATAAGATGACTCTTAGAAATGTTTTATAACAACTATGAGTAAGGATATACATATGTAGAGAGTTGTTCTTTGTTCGGAATCACGTGTTTCTGTATTGAGATAATGTAACAGTAAAATGGGCAGAAATATATATACATATATGTACATATGTATATTTGGATATCTGATAATGCTAATGTTATACTAATTGGACACATCATCCTATTAATGACCTATAGTTTTATATACCTATAATATTATATTTAATATATAATACGTTATTTCATATATACCATTTGTATGTTCATTAATATATGTTATATGACGATACTAATTCAGAAGAAATGAACGAACGTTAGATAATTTATCGCATGGCAAATGTAACATAACAATCTCGAGCCGCAGGCAGTTCCAATATCTCCGGGCGACCTATCTCGAAAACCAGACGTCTTTTCTAACTTACGCAACAGAATTTACGCTTAAGCGAACCGAGCTCCACTAGCACTAACATTTCTCACACACACCGACGCAATATATGAGCCAGTGACCAACATAATGTGACCTCCCGCCCCCCTCTCGACTCTTACTTAAGAGAGGACGGGGGGACAGAATGGACTCGCGGTCAGAGTTCTAGTTATGCCAAACTATGGTATAGTGCGGTATCGGTAATGGCCAGCCTAACTTGGACCGTTCCGTCTGTGCCACGTCAGAGGGTCGCGTGTATGTGGAGGGGTCAGCGGACGGTGGTCAGTCCTGGTAGGTATTAACGTAGATGTGTAGCGAGGCGAGTGGGTGAGACGTTTACGGTTGGATCGCCGGTCGACAACGACGTGGTGACCACACGTTAGAGGACTTATACAGGACATGTTGTTACTGAAACATCATTATTAACAACTTATACGTAGATAACACACAAAGAAATATTATTTTATTCCTCTAATCTCATCTTTCATGACTTTAATTTCTGTAGTACTACATCATTCAAATGGATTCCATATGATAAGTAAACAAAAGTACGAAATCATGGTAACAATACACGCGGCGCAATACCGCTATGAGACGCCGCGGTCGCCCCTCGCGTCGCGCCAATTAATTACGGTGGCCATCTTACCCCCGGAGCTCACCCACGCCCCCTGACGGACAATAATTGCCGACACCGAATCCACGCTACTTGCTAGTCGCTAGCCTCTTGGCCGTACAGACACCTATAGCTAGGTATATACATGTATATATCTTGAGCAAGTCAAATGAAAGGCCGGCAGCTGTGGGCTGAGATCGATATTTAACTAATGACATCGAAAAGATCCGCTGATAGTAGGTATATGTTATATATAAATATTATTTGGTTCAAATTACTATTAAAAAGATAACATATAAGTACTACATACATACAAAAATTTTAATTGAACTTGAAGTCACAGTTAATTCTCCATATATGGAATGATTATTAATACTTATAAATTTCAAAAGATTTTTATCCCGACTCAGATAAATGTCTCAATACACGCCGATCATATCTTCTCATCATACATTTAAGATTCAAAAAACATTTTAATTAAAATTCACAACCGTATATTTAAATATGCATTAATATTTAAGTAAAATTCGATTCAGATAAAAAACTTTACCATACATAACGAATAGGTATCTACATATGTATATGTGTGTGTGTGTGTGTATACAAAGGATTTTTTTTTCTTTAATAGTTTTGATAAAACTACATCTCGTTCATAGTCATTATATTATGAGTTTATTAAGAATATTGTTCATTATTTTAACTACACTCATTCGAGGAATTCCGCTTAGTAATACAATTATACTCTCAAGCATCATCATTTTAAGACATAAATGATTATTAATAATCATTTCACCTACCTTTATATTAAAGGAAATAAATAACCAATCGATAGTTTTTGAGTGCTGACGTAACAAATACACAGACATACATTAAGAATTTATAATATTAATACAAAAACATTATTATATAGTATATACCTCAGTAGTCGATATGCTTACCACAGGTTTGTTTTGTCAGACTACATACTTACAAACAGAACGTTTCTCGTTTTACATACAACGACCAACGCATAACCAATAATAATTAATATGAATGAAAAACTATTATAATTTTGTTAAGAAAACCAGATTTTCTTTTAAAGCTATACATATTTAGAGAAAAAAAGTATTTCTCCCTACTAGTAAATTTAAATATCCTTGTTTCAAACAAATGCTAATAAATTATAATGCTAATACAATTCTATTGATGAATCATAAAGTTTTTTCACCTTCACAAAGCACAGTGACATGCGCAGGCGCATTCCGCGCCAGATGTGACACGCTCGACGTCGGAAGGATTTAAAACTGAAGTACTTTTTATTATCAACCTTAATACATTGAAATAAGAGCTATAATAAATATAGCTTTGGTGAATAATAGTATAATTTTACTACCTGATAGTTGCAAACTCATTTACTTATAGAGAATTGAAGTCTTAATACTTCCTGACTTTCACTGAAGCTTGTAGAATAAATGCTTTATGAAATAAAGCTTATTAAAAATATTAACTACTTAAATAGGATAATAATTTCGATAAATTTTGTTTGACATATACTAATGAACTGAGGCTATTAAATTATAAATATAAACAATATATTTTTAATAAAAAATTCATATGAATGAAAAATATAATTTCATAACAAATTTAACTCAATAGATTCTTTCATAAAAGACATCAACGATGTTAGTTGAATCTCAAATTGTATACTTTCAGGGTTAAAACGATTGTTGGACAATTAAAAGGACTATATATTATATGTAAACGAAATATATATGTATTATAATGATTTAATACATATAATAGTTATATATAGCAATATAATTACATAATACATAAATGAAATAATTATATATGTATTAAAAATAAAAATATATTTCACCACACACATAAAACATATTTCTAGTTCGATCAATGTCTAATAAGGATTGGTATTCGAAAATCATTAATATTAACACAAAAAAATAATATTATATGCACCCAAATAGCTTATCAGTGCATTAAAATATAAGTGATTATATTGTATAATAATGTTTTTGTAATTAGCGCATACAAACAAGGAATCATGCATGCAATATGCAACCAGATCTATGTAGTATCGAGCTTTGACAGCCAAATGCAATAAACGCTCCATAGTAGTGAGTCGAAGCCCGGCCATTAGCCCCTCGCAAATTGGTAATTCCCTCTAAGGAACGCCACGATATTGAGGTGCTCTGTTTGAGATGCGTTTCTATAACGTAGATGATGAAGCTGAGCTGTTTGTACTGAGTACTGAGCATATTGAGTATATACAAGTTTTATTTATGCAAACATCTCATAGTCCCTTTGGTAATGATGTTTGGGTTAGATTAGTAGTAGTAAATAGTAGCTCATTAGTAGGGGAATGGTGACTAGGTGTAAGAACTGGTGTATCTGAATGGTAGTATGGAGAAGGTTGACATGTTTAATGTTACACTATTTAATAGTTCGGACCAGTTGAAAACTAATATACATGATACAAATATCGCAAGATAAGTCCGACGATATCATCAAAAAAAATATTAACAATATAATTTAATGTAAGGAAAAACAAATATTTTTTTTACACCTAAAATAAAATTAATTAAAGTTAGTATTGTTTATATTTTATTTTAATTATAATATGTCTTCAAAGATTTTACTTGCGTCTTGTCAATCGTGTTTACAAACTTACACTACCCACATTCATATTATAAGTGTTCTACCGAAAATAAATCTTTAATTCAAAATGCGAGCGGAAATTACTCGTGAGTAAATCTATTAACATTTAATTAGGCCACACGAATAAATAAATTCTGATAATATCGTAGAAATGTTATAAAAGACTTCGAAAAAAGAAAAAGTTGCTACACCAGTATAATCTTTTTGAATTTTTCTATTAGCTTCAAGGTTTTTAAATATTCCGTTGGTGTCCAATAGACCGATTGTTATCATGATAACTCAATACAGCTTCCGTTGTTTCAAGAAACGACGAGAGCCCCAGAGATCTAGCTCCTGACGAACAACCATTAGCCCCGAGCAAATTGCTAATTCCCTCTAAGGAGACTGGCGTTTCAGCTGTCTTATATGTATAGGTGAGTTAGTTTAACATAATTTATACTTATATTTTTAATAAATATAGTTTTCATGACGATTTTTGTGAAATTTGCTAGAAATTTTGGACATTTTCTGCAAAATTATAAGATTTTTTGCTAGATGACAACTGAACGAAGAAACCAAAGACAATAGCATCTATAGAATACACTGTACTATGTAAATTAAATATTTACTATTGAAGTTAAAATTTAATTTCAATTATACAAATAACTTATTCAATACTAGATTTAATTGCCTTCAAATATAACTTTACATATTATATCAACCGTTACAATTGAATATTTGTACGTGTCAAATAATATGGAAAAATCAAAGATCATTTTCGGATATGGTGGACAATTTTAAAGAGAATTTCTCAAACAGATTTAAATTTTAAATACAGAGAAAGAAGTATCCAAATTTATTTATTTATGAATTATGAATTTATTTCCAAAGAGAGTTAATGTCAGGCAGGTGACTGGTCGTAAAAACAATTAGCCAAAACTATTCACAACATATAAGGCAGACCCTGGCTAAAGCTGGGAAATTGCCAGGAAGAAGAAGAAGAGAGAAAGTAGAATCTAAATGACCATTGCATTGAAATCTCATATGCTTCCTATATCATGAACAGTTTCACTTAATTCAAATATAAATAGGAATGCTTTTAAATAACCAAGTCGCAATCTTAGGTTATTCGCCATATTGTATCTTATATGACATCACACATCATAAGTCATCATCCAAAATTAACGGTTATACAAAATTATCACTGAATTAAAATACATGCACCTTAATCGAGTTGCAAGGTTCCATCCAAAAAATATCAATAATATCACAATTAAATTGTAAGATATATATAAGAACATACAAAAATGTTTTAAATCTATTTGAAAATTTAGTACAATCTGCATAGAGTAACTTATATTTCTAACATCCTACACGAAAAGTTATGTTATTTATTTAATGTGCACCTCTTTGTGTCTTTGGCATCATAGCTCCTAAACAGATAGCCCAATTTTGATGCGGTTATTTTCATATGAAAGTCAGTTTTCGTGCGGTGGTGGATAAGCATTGGCTAATCAGTGTTAAAGGATCAGCTCTTATCCAAAATAATTTAGACACTTGTTGCTAAGGATTAATTATATTTTATGTTAAGATAATGTTTAGTTTGAAGTGAATGAAGTAAAGATATGTAGATCGAAAATGGAAAAAAAATGTATAAAATATTAATTTGTTAGCTTTAGTAATTAAACACACTTTTAATTACGTAATTTAAAGGTTTATTACAAGAAATACAATCGCTAATATCCCGGAGTAGTGTTGCAAGTATATTTAAAAAAAAGGAAAACATTGAGTGAAGACAATATAAATAATTAAGTTAAATTTAAATAAGGCGCGAAATTCAAATATACTCATCATTATTAGTTGTAAGTACTATGTATTTATGATTATGATTCAAAAAAACACGCGTAATTTCATATATTTCTTAAACATATGTTCTTTAGACATAGATATTAGTATGAGTGGTTCATAGGTGTATAGATAATAACAGCTGTGTTAAATTTAGACAGTATTTAGTATCCAGGTCTAGTTCCAGGAAGAGCCAGGTCTTGGCGACACGAAACCAGGTCACTCGATACACTGATGGAATTAACAGACGTACATACACCATGGCTTGATATAGGAATCGAATGGAGACGAACAAAGACAAGTGTATTTATAAGGTAATCTTCATAAAATCATTTACCGATGTTTTAAATATACATATATCCCTACTAATATTATAAATGCGAAAGTAACTCTGTCTGTCTGTCTGTTACGCTTTCACGCCTAAACCACTAAAATGATTTTAATGAAATTTGGTACAGATATAGAGTTGACTTTGAGGAAGAACATAGGATAGTTTTTATCCCAGACTTTTGAAAGGTTCTCTTGGAAACGCGATATAACCGAACTCCACGCGGGCGAAGCTGCGGGCGGAAAGCTAGTATATTTATAAATATAACTATACATTTATAGTATTATAGAAAAAAGTCTATTTTAGCAACGGACTTGAGAATATTCTTTGTATAACTATAAAAATCAACATAAAATTAGGATAACTGTATGATTTAAATAAATTTGTATTGTCATAGTGTAGTAAATATAAAGATTTCTTGTTTTTCTTACAATAATCTACTTATAAAAAACTTTCGATCACTCCCTAGTCCCTACGTACTTTTATAAAGCGAATATTTGATATACATATTGATATTATCGTGTAAATTTGCAACATGGAAATGAAACTTAGTTTTTTATACGTCTGTATTATGCAGAGTAAAATAATAAAAGAGTCGTAGTATCCGAAAAACTTAGTATCGATTAAGCATATCGATTTTTAAATGAAAATGCATCAATTTACTCCTCAAGAAACAAAGCATCACAAAAAAATTATCAAAAAAGTAATTTTTTTTTTTTATACTATCTTAAATCTATAAAAACTTTTATTATAAATAATAAAATGAATTAAATTATGTTCTGTCAAATAACAACAAAACAATATCTAATAAAAACAATAATTACCAACAAAAAGAACAATATTTTTATTGACTGTTTTCATATTATGAAAAAAACATTCGATTTTATGAAAACCTCTTTTATATATTTTTTTTTAAATGAATCGTTAAAGCAATTAGTATTTAATGAAATACAATAATAACCTTATAATGTGTTTTATAATATTTCATTTGATGGCTATAAAATAAACATGTCTTCACGCGATAGTGATGAGTCATTACGAATCGGCAATAACGATTTATGTGTATAGACATAAGTAATCGGATCCACCGGTTTTTGCGATTAATCGAATATTTTCTAATTACTTCTCACTATAATGATAAATAATTATATTGGCGCCAAAATATTTTTATCTTAAAGTAATGTGATGCGTATTTTTAAATACTGCTGCAGTGGAATTATCGATTTTCGTTTATACACATCGTATTGGGAGCCAATCAGAGCTATATGTGATAATATTAAGCGAGTCTTATTTGTATTAACAGGAACGTCGAACATATGATTATGAAAACGGCGGTTTCAAGGCGAGCTGTTAAATATTCAGATGTCGATTTGTAGTTATCAAGGAGATGTTGTCCGGTTTTGTCCGGTATTGTCCGGTTCTGTCCGGTTCTGTCCGGCCGGGTCCGGTCCGGGTACATATTAATGAGGACAGGTAGGTGGGCGGTTGTCATGGCAACGGCGCGGCCTCCAGTATTACAATCAAGGCTACGATGTTTACGGTGTAGGGTTGACACTGTGTTGGAAGAGAGTTTGTCGCGGCGTAATAATAGATGGACAATAGTTTATGTTCTGAAGTAAAATTGATTTTTGGAGCCTCAACAAATGTTCATAACCACAGATATATAAGGATTATATCGTAAATATGATTAAGTTATTTCCTTCCATTAACCTAATGGTACTTTTTATTGAATTCATCCAGATGACATTGTTCTCTATATATAAGCTTTTAGAGCAACAGATTAAATCTCTTCATTGAAGTAATAACAAAAATTCCACACCAAAACACATGTACTAGAACATTCCAAATGAAATACATATAATAATGTGATTACCAGCCCTACGACACACGCTGAGCTTACCCCCATTTTGGAGTAGCGCGTGACGCGGCGGGGGAGGCGGGGGTCGCCGGGGGCTGGCGGGGGTTGCTGGGGGTTGCCGGGGGTTGCTAGTACCGAACACGCCGCGACAAAAAACCCGCGCTGACCCCGGTCCGGTCATAAAGAGCCGAGAGCCGTAATAAGCCCTCTTTGCTGGCTCCGCAGTTACGTCAGAGGATTAAATGGCACCGAACGCACCTAATACACACAGAATGTACACGCTCGATCTCACTCCAACACGGATGACGCCATTTTGAAGACGTGGCTAGTGGCTAACTGGCTACCAACTGACGTAGAGAATGATAGTTTTACTACATAACTGATAGTTAGACAGTTTAACTTTGAATGTATGCGAAAAACATAAGATAATTATCGAAGTTAAAACATATTAAACGAAATATATAAATAGCAGTCTTATTTTGTTTATACATATAGAATTAGCAACAGAAGCAATGCATTGTTACCACGTTTTTATTTACTTAAACTTTGTTATAGCAAAATAAATATATTACTAAACGTATTTTAACGTGGAAACTCTTAATCTATGTTTCCCATGAAGAACAAGTCCAAGTCAAAAGTATTTGCTCAGAGTTTATAACTATAACTGGACGAATTCACATCAGCAGTTCTGTATACATCGCGAACAGACAGACAAACTGACAATTTTAACAATCGGAAATTTGGCAACCATACAACTCTCTTATCCTCTAAGAAGCTCTACTTGTACGTAACATATAGTATAGATTCTGTTAAATTCTATTTTCTTTCAAGATACATATGTATTTTAAAACAAATAAAATTCGTAATTAATCCAATAAATTAATCCAAAAAAACACAAGCCCAATGAAGTATACATTTTTTCAGTCAAAAAAACAAAGGTATATGACAGATATCCAAGAAGATTAAACTCTTTTTGGTGAAGCTCGAGATAATATTTCAATGATTTTAAAGACTTGATAACAATTTTATTTAAATTTATCACATATGAATTAAATTAAATTACAATTCCTTTTATAAAGTTGTCATCTTTTAATTTCAATATTACACTCGGCATGAAAAACTTTATTTATAGTGCTAAGTCTTAATTAGACTTGAAAGCTTTTAAAAATCATTTTATATCATTTACCTATATTTCATTTTATTTATTGTTCTATACAAATAAAGTAATTATAAATATTCATTTAAGCGGCAAATAGTTCTTAGTTAAAGTGTAAAAAATCGAAATATCTATTAACCACATAAGCATAGATATTTTAAGTAACTGACAATTATTATAATGTTACATTTAAATAAACGTAATTAATATTAAAATTATATTTTTCCCGCCAACAAGTAACAGTTCATTCCTCAAATAGGTACGTCCATTAACAAAGTTGCAAAACCTCGTTCAACAGGTGCTGCTATTCGTTTCAATATCTGCAAAACTTCCCGACACGACTCAATAAATCGACCAGTATTACCTGAGCTCCGACAATTCACGAGCACTTGGCCATTTGAACCAAAACAGAGGACGACGTGGCTCATTTAACGCCGGTTTTTATTTGCCCTGTTGTTATTATCTCCGGTTTAACAAACCCATACAAATTTAGACTTTATTTTATTATAATAAAGTTTATTGTTGTATTTTGATTGTATTTTATTTTGTATTCAGCAGTTAAGTGAGATGTTATTACAAGGGATGACATGTTTTAGAGATTGTTGAGATCAACTGTTTACTTTGTCATAAATATTATATCATTTTGGATTGTTATTTAATTCATTTGCAAAGAAATATCCTAAAAAGGGTATATGTGTATATTCTGTATGTATAGTTACAAATTAGTTCAAGAATATATAACACACTCATATAGAAATAAAACGATTTGAAATTTAACATAACAGATCGAAATTTGATGGTTTATTAAATAACACTTAAGTATGTAGTTTGAATCTCGAACAAAAAAATTAAAACTAAAAGTTTACCCGCAAGTTTAGTTATAAATAAAACACCGATTTTCCGATAACAGAAGCGTCAATCTAATCTCGTGTAATTCTCATAATGTCGGCCAGTCGTGTCGGCCTCGTGTCGTCGTGTCGGCGAGTAGAGTCGGCGACTTATAATTCCCGTCGCGTCCGCGTCCTGTCCTTTCCGCGTGAGTCACCGCGGTATCTGCGCCCGCGCGGTCACTATGAGACCACCTAGCGCGTGGCGCATGCGCATACGATTACGCGATTTATTCATTAAATAAAAAAAAATAGATAGAATTTATATTACAAAAAAAATATAATAATAGCCAGTATTCATACAGTAAACCCTTTTTTTCTACATATTAAACAATGTTTTTTATAACAAGTAAAACACCTGTAAATATCAAATTTGTTCGCTCCAGTAGCTCGTGAGCGGGTTATTGAGATCTTGAAAGATCGTAATTTGCTCTAAAAACCTTACGCGGCACAGCAGCTGGGTCCGCCGCTGCACACAATGTATCATACGTTAGTGTCGGCTAGACGTGGAATTGTAGAAGTGAAATCCTTGAAGCTTTAAGCGGTTTCATGAATGAATAATTTAGACACATGGCTTAAATAGACGCAAATTGGGAAAATTCACAATCTTTATAATATATTTTCATATAATATCTGATATTATTTTAACGAATACGAATCTATGGAGCAAATATGAACTAAGTTTGAATTTAAAATACGAAATGTTAAAAACTATAGTAATAAACGCGATAAAAAAACTTTCAGTCAAAAACTAAACTACTTGCAATGCATACGAAACTATACTACAATTAAAATACACCTATAATCAGTACATAAAACAAAAGTCTCATATAAATAAATAATTTTATTGACACCATATTATTTCCAACCCGCTACATCTAGTGACTTAGTCCGTGTTTTTGCAATTCACTTTAAAAACACGCTCGCAGCTGCGTCTCGCTGCAGGCGGCGTCCTTTGTGAAGGGGAAACGCTAAAACGGATAGTTTTACACCACTGACCACGACGACAAATACTCAACCACCCACGTATGTGAACAGTAACGCTACTCGGTACTTAATATATATAAGAAATAACATATTATATTGATAGTAAATATATATCTTCTTCTTCTATCTAGCAATTTCAAAGATTTAACCAGGGTCTGCCTTACATGCTGAATAGTTTAGGCTAATTGTTTTTACTACCGCCTACCTGACATCAACCCTCTTTGGGAATGCATTCATCAGTGATGTCTAAATAATCTTAGAAAGTACATATGACTCGGAAAACCACATTGCTACTTGCCCGGGCCAGGATCGAACCTGCAACACTAGGCCACCACTGACTTAATATATCTTCTATCCAAAAAAATCCCTTTTTACGAGTATTTTTCCTAAAATGACGTAATAACTCTCTATTACATAAAATATATGACTTAATTGGTTCATTCTCATCTCCACCTGGTTCTATACAATCGTGTTCCACGTCTAACCTGATCAATAAAAGCTGATCAAATTAAACGCTTCCGAGGAATCGCCCTCTGACGTGGGTAGGGAGGGTCCTGACTCACGATGCGTGCGCGCATATTGATCACGTGACCTCTAATACATGTACTATAGAATTATTGGATGTTTTTAACGCAAAAAGAATATTACTTGAATTTATGAAACAATATTCGATTTTATCTGTTTTAACTTAATAGTTATTCTAGTAATTAGTATCGATTGAATAAAGAGATAGTGGTCAAAAGTTCACTAGCATTAGGTATAGCAAAACTTGGAATATATGTATATGTATTTAATTTTCCAAGTTATATTTGTTTTAGATTTAAAAAAGACATAACGATATCTTAGTTTAATATAAATCTATTAAAATCTTAAGTAACAATGATGTTTTTAAATACGATATTCAATGTCTTCTTGCAAAAATGAATTGTTAATATGTGAAATCAAACAAAACCACATTTATCCACTAATAAGTTATACGTATATAAAAATTAATAAAATTGCACATGAATTTTCTCTTTTTATCTGTTTGTTTGTTCCATCTTATCTATGAAAGTGCAGGACAACAAGTACCATAAGATACTTTAAATACCTATATATTTTTACTATTCTATTAATATGAATTCAAAAAAAAGTGAGGCAGTTGATAAACACAGGCAGACTTTTTATAATCGTTACACGTGCTAGTCGTGGATCGATATTATTAATAGAAAAGACATAAAACTCTTAAATATTAATTTAATATTATATAAAGATTTTATCAACAGTTCCGTCACTAACGGATACGTATCGAAGCATCACTTCTAGAATAGATTGTCTCTTGAATAGATTAGAATTATCTAATGTAGACGTTCCTTTGTCTAAAACTGTTCGGAGATACGCGAATATAGAAAGACGAAAATTAATATATATAGAAAATATTCAATAATATATATATATTGTTATTATATGAAATTATTTATATGGGATCAATATCAAAATAATGTAATAATTAGTCTTACGTAACTTTACAGTAAAAACATTTATTTCAGATAAAAAATATTTCTATAAATTCCAAGACAAAATTTTATAGAAAACTTAATCGTTTTTAACACAGACAAAGCCTGAAAACGTTCATAGTATATCCATTATAATATACGCTACTTATAATTCAACAATTTCCTCCCATACAATATTTATTGACGGGGGGAGCTTCTTAGAAGCATTTTTGGAGGCAGCCCCCGAGGGTATTGGCGCGAGTTCTGAACTAGTTCCAACCAGAAACTTGGCCCAGGTACCTCTGGGGATGAGAGCCGGTGATTATAGAGATAACACTCGGGACTTGAGAAGACTTAGACTATGTACTACTGACACAGAAAAACTATTAATATATATATCTATTGATTTTAGAATACTTGTATCGTATAGATTTCAGGATGTCCAATATTTTGTGTACACATATTTAGAAAGAATTTTTTTTATGTATTATGAAAAATTTCATATAATATTATTTAAGTAGATTTAAGTAAATAAGTACCTTCATGTGTAAAATACATTCATGTGTTTAAAGATATTTAAATTTTTAAGACGATATATACTTCTACATATATATATGTATATAACTCGTCTTCAAGCATCCAGCTCAAACGGGTCACTTAGCGGATCTGGCTGAGATGAATAAAACTGTTTAAGATACAACAGACACATTCACACAGCATCCCACGACGACCGTCACATGTACGGACGTTGGCTTTACAAATATACGTAATATATTATTACAGTCACCTTGTTATAAATATTATTATTATTATTATTATAAAACTTTATAAAGAGATATGAGATTTTCGCGAGTCATTTAAATTAAACTAATATTTTGAGGATATACTACGCGATTTTATTTTGATAAAAATTACTCACTCCCGACGTTTGGGCTACTTTTCAGCAACCGTGATCACGGGCAGACGAGATGTGAGTGTCACGAAGATCACGGTTACTGTATCCGCAAAATATTAGTTTCATAATAACTTTATTTCGATATAAGTATGATTTTAGGAATGAATAAAGAAATATGATTCATTCGTAAAACAAAACAAAGTACATACTTAATACACTCATTACGCGGTGCGACAGTGAAAGTACAATGATATCGGACAAATAATAAAAGTGTCAACATACGGCCACAGATAAATATAAAAATCATTGCAAAACCATCAATAATTTCATTTCATTTAGGTAATCCAATACATGACTAATAATAAAATTTTGTAACTTTAAAGATGTTTACAAATGTCACATACGGACAATGGTTTATAAAAAGTATGGAATAGTTTAACCTTTTACGGGCGGATGGCGGTGGAGTCGCAGAAATAAAGAAAACAAATCGATCTGTACTATATCCGTTCGATGAGGTGACGCAACGCGACGACCACTGCCAGAACACGTTCGGACGTACATTAAATACGACATATACGAACGAAAATAAAGAAAATAAACATTTAATACAAATAAAATAAATTATAATTACTAATTAATATATTATTGTCAATTTATTTCTATCTGTCATCTGTCACTTGTCAGTCTATTTTTATACGGCACAAGGCACAGTCGCATACAGCCGACATACTAAATATAGATTATATTTTGTGCTAACGCAGCAGCATTGAGCGCGTGCTGTACAACGCGAGGTCAGACGCCCGCGTCGCGTATAGTGACGTGCCGATAACGACTACTGGACGCGATAAATATAGATAGATTTATCGATGTCTATCACGACACTATACACTATCGCTCAACCATTGAGATCACATTAGTATTTTCTAAATATATTTTTAGATATTATATACTTTAAATTAAACTAAATTTATAATAGCATGATGTTATATAAAGTATAAAATGAACAATGTTTTATTTGAAATATTTTTTTTTATTTGAGTTATAACTATCGATATCAGTCCATCCCTAGTGGAGGCTGCGCACACGCATCAAGCTCGTGACAGTATAGCGGGTCACTATCTATTTCTACTATTAACGTCAGTACACAACACCGGACCGGGACTTTCTAAAAGCACATCAACTCAATACTTTCCCTGTAGACGTTCTGATAACTCATCCTATATCATTAAGTTAACTCTTTATCAAACTATAAATTAAACTATATAAGTCTCGCTTGGTGGAAAACTACAATGGCAACCTGCCAGTCTTTTGTTTGTGTACCCAAAAGTCACCAGCAACTGGTCTGTTAGTCTTTCGTATATAATTGAATTTAAATAAAATATATCCCAATTAAAATTATATATTTTGCAATGTTGCCATATGAAAAAATTTTAAAAAATGTTTACAGTACACAAAAATATAATAACTCAATTTTTATTCATCCTCAACAGAATTTGTAATGTATGTATAAAAAAAAAGTATCTTATCCTCTCAAAGCCATCTCTTACACCTGCATAATAAAGTTCTAAGCCTCGTTACGCTTCCTGGAACCTCTTGTTTAATACTCTTAACAACAAAGACGCATCCAATATACATACATTTGTATTTATTTCTAAATCTAAAAACAATACGCACAAATTGAATACTTATTAGATATATTAAATAGCTCTCAATTCACTAAACGTAATGTTACTCCATAATGAGTCCGTTGCCAGCTAATTGCCACGTTTGAGAACGTAAAAATTTCCCGCGGGAAAACTGCAATTATCCCACAGGATAGCAGCATTAATGCGATTTTGAATACATCCCCATACGATATTAGATCTCATGAACGATATATTATTATCATAAAACGATAATACTACATTTATAAGTAAAACAAGTATACATATACATATTAGTTTAGGTAGTAAGTTTTGGTCTAAAATTGCGCACAATTTGAATTCCTGCTAGAACAAAGTCCGTAGGCACTTAACTGGTATTTCGCGTCCGATGCAAGCAATTAGCGAAATGGGCATCGGAAAGGCCTCAGCGACTACCGCCTCCATTCATACCAATCAATACACATTCCAAATAAGGAAACCAAATGGTATCCATTTTAATGTACGTCATTCCAAAAGAAAAGTGACTAAGTATTAACACTTTAGTATCTAAAATCTTCTACATATATAAAAATGGATTGCTGTTCCTTAGTCTCGCTAAAACTCGAGAACAGCTGAACGGATTTATCTTATCTTAGTCTTGAAATGTTCGTGGAGGTTCAGGGAAGGTATAGAAGCTGAATAAAATTGATTAATTACTGGGAAAACCATAAAAACAGCCCTTTTCTATTTCCCATACAAACGTTTTTTTGACATAAGATTTGACAACTAACTAATATGTCAATCATTCTGTCGCACTTCAAAACACGGAGATTTATGGCTTACAGTTAACTCCAAAAATATAAATAAAAAAACGTAATAGATATTTTTTGATTATAGGGCGATACGAAGGTCTTCTAGTGTACAATAAAAAAACGAGATTTATTGAGTAAATAACATCCAAATTGATGGTTTAAACTGTAACGCTGTCCGTATATAACAATTAGCGAAATATGCACCGGAAAGACGATCAGTGATAGGGAGTGAGAGGCCATTAATAGCAATCAATATTCCCTCCACGCCGGGATAAGGATTTGTATCGGGTTCCGGTACCGAAACCCGTCTTATGTGTGTCCATTTATCTTGCAAGGAAATAACTATGTATACATATATACATAATATTAACATACTATGAGATAATTCCTTGTAAATGACTAATCAATACGAGACGCGTTTTGGAAAGTTCTGGGTCATGTTGGACCCGCATACCGCTTCCCGGAACCCGTGCGGGTTGTTCAGACCCACGCTATACGATCTAAAGAACCCTCTACATTATATAAGGTTTAAATAAATTCATAGAAAAACAAGCGGACCATTATGACGGACACGTCACAAAAAAGGAATGCAGTTATAAAAAAATATCAAGCGAAAAAATATAAAGACATCTATCTCTTATATAATATATACACATAATGTTTAAATAATGATGAGCTTATACATTTTTATTTTATTTATAAATAACATAGAATAAAAAAAACAATTATGTACAATTTAGTCATAAATATTATTTATAATCTGTACCGAATGTCTAATCAAATGTCATTCTAACTTTTTTAATATGACAGCGAGTTGGTTTAAACTTTAAAGTTTTCATATTTCAATAAATAACAATACATATGTATGTATTAATTAATTATAAGTATGATTGTGAGTGTATCCGTTACATAATAACAGGCCCCCACAGGCGCCGCGCCTCCATAAATCTCGGAGGCCATTCCATCGCTTCCTTTGTCGTTTTTTTTGTTGTCGCTGGCGCGGTAATAAGATCGCGGACATCAACGTCAGGTAAAGATAGTCTTGGCTCCAGCCAGCCGCGAGTGAATTGCATGTCACCGTACTATAGACCATTCGTTGATATAATTAAATAACCAGCTTTCAAAATATATCGAAAGAGACAGATAAGTAGTATAAAATAATTCGAAATCATTTAAAAACAATCGAATGATTTAAAAAAAGAAATTAATCATAATATTTTGTTATAAATAGTTTAAAACAAAGTTTCTTTAACGAAAAGGCGAGAAAGTTAAGTTTGAAATTGTCATATATTTAGCGTATGCTCGGACGTAAACCTTTTGTCTTAACAGCGAGTGTACCAGCGACATGCGTCTATTGACCGTACAGATGTACACATTCGAATGTTTTCGATTACCGACGTCCGTTGAGTCACCGCTCGCCGGTCGCCGCTCGCCGCTCACTCACCAATCGAAGCTCCTAACGATCAAATAAATCTACTAGTCCATAGAGAACGTACTATGTGTCCTATAAGGCTACTATTGCTAAGTCGGTAATAATTATATCAAACGAGTTTCAAAGTAACTAGCGAGTTCAGCCTTCACACAGCACTCCCGGTCGCTAAAATGTCGGCGAAGCGTTTCTTGTGTCGGCGAGAAATAGCAGCTCAGGGCCAACGAGGGCCATTAGCATACATAATGATAGCTCAAACATACTGCTCCCTCCCGACGCGACGTACGAACGGACACGAGATCGATCAATTAACTGTCTCCTTAATACTTATGATACTCCAAGATATATAACTATTTTATAAACGCTTAAATTCAATATATTAATGTATATAATTATAGCAATTTAACCCAAGTATTCTGTGATGTATATTGTTAAAGATTACTTAAATTTACTCAATATCATACTCGCGATATCAACAGTATTTGGTTCTGTCCAAAGCTCTGTTAACTAAAACAGATATAATTCTAAACGCGATCAATACGAGTCATTTGGCGAACCTGTTCCTGAGACATCACGGACAGACTCATCTAACAACGAGATAAGAAACTCCGACGTATTTAATTGTCACTCGACTCGGTAGTTCCCACGTGAAATTTGAATACACGACTTATGAAGCAACGAAATGTTAATAAGATATTTTTTTGTCAATAAATATATTTAATATATTTGATATATCCTTATAATATTAATATGAGAATCTAAAGACTAGCTTGTAGCCTGTCTTCCTTGTATACGTTCCAGCAACACGCACGCATGCATAACGAGTCTAAATTTCAGAAGAAGGGCTCAATTAACGCCGAATCGTGTTATCAATATGAGAATCTCTCACGCGAACAGAAATGTCAGTGATTTTTTTTTGTGACGCGACCTAATAAAATCAAATACTTGTCCCGTTTTAAATTCAAAAAAATTGCTTTGGATTTAAAAAAAAATATTTTCAATTAAACCTAGCTTAAAACCTATTTTATGTATAACTTTTTTAAATTTTTAAGTCTATTGAAATTAAGGAAAAGATTAAGTTTAAGATAACTTTGTGTGACAGTTGTTGAAGAGATTTTAGGTTCTAATGGATAACTTCTTCCTTTATTGATGGTCATTATCGTTAATTACTTCATAAACAAAGAATTTAGGCCTGGAAATATAAAAATTGAAATCGAGATCTACTTTATCCTTTATTAAAAGCTATTTAGTACTTACATCCAAAATACTATCTTTGTCTAGTCCTTTGTTTTTTTATATCCTATTTTCTGTTGACGATCTTAAACCAAGGCCATAAAAAAATCATTCAAGAATTCTAAATATGATTCAACTAAGAATATTTCAACAATACCTTAATTATATAAATGTGATTGCTCTCAATATATATTTTCACAAGAAATACTGTCACATCTCAACGACTGGAATAGTTCTGTGCACCGCACTGCCATTCTGATCAAAACTTAATAAGCGGTAATTACAGTGATATAAAAGATGCCCATCTTTAGCATCAGAAATTGCGTTTCGCCCACAAATTACTGATGTCCAAAGTACCTACGCGTTTAACCCTAAATGGTTGCCCCTTATCAGACGGCACGCATGCAACTATGTGTGCCATCACGACCACATGAAACGCCCGGAGGAAATCCGCTCGTATTATTATACAAAATCATTTTTTGAATTTCCAGAGCAATGCTTACTTAATATATTACTTACATAGAGACAAATATCACGTTTAATAAACATGGACCTGTTTTTTTGGAATTTTTAATGAGTAAAACGAGCACTAGTAATTTCCTCGTTTTACTCATTTATTTGTATCTATATATATAATATATAAATATATTTAAATCGAACTACCCAATACCCATCTTTAACTTGTAGTTTATGATAGATATGTGAATATATTAACATAATATTACAAATATTAGTCACATATAAATTTTGTGCATATATTATCAATGCTTGATAAAAAAAACTATCAGAATATACCTAATATAAATAGCACTAATTATACTTTTATATTAATTGGCCACTAAAGTTATATTTTTAGAGTATTATTGGAATTTAAAAAGCACGTAGCATTATGTTTGATTATAAATCAAAATATGAGACAATTTAGTCAATTATTACGGCAGGGTATAAGATTTAGACTCCAGACGTTAAAAGCATCAGATGCTATTATAGAGGGATCTATTTAACCTCACCAACGTTTTATTGTAACTTAAAAACCCTATAATCCCTACTAATATTATTAATGCGAAAGTAACTCTGTCTGTCTGTCTGTTACGCTTTCAAGCCTAAACCACTGAACTGCTTTTAATGAAATTTGGTTCAGAGATGGAGTTGAGCTTGAGAAAGAACATAGGATTGTTTTTATCCTAGACTTTTGAAAGGTTCTCTTGGAAACGTGATATAACCGTACTTGACGCGGGCGAAGCCGCGGATGGAAAGCTAGTAAGTAATAAAAGAAATAGTAATTAAAAATTTACTTTTTTTATATCACCTATAGATAAAGTCTTTAAGAAAAGTCTGATACATTTTTTCTTCGCGTGAATATTCACTAAATATACATAATGTACATTTAATATGAAACAAATATTTTTCTAAACTGAGCGTAATTTTATATGTAATAGTGTTTTCAATATCTGCTATCTGTCTTTATAACATATATCTCGTGTGAAACGTCCTTTAGTTTTTTGCTAACCCTTCCAAGTTCCAGCTATAATTCCCACGTGTATAAGTTAGTGTCTTCTCCGGCGCGACATTCTAATTATGTTTTTGTGACGCCGTCATAGGGGAAGCTTCGTTTCTTAACCTTTTTAGCAAAAAAAACCGCCGTCCATTGTTATATACGGAAGTAAGGAAGGGAAGGTATAGGGGATTACGATGCAACGACGAAAAAGCGCATAGAGACCGCTTTAAACAATCATATCTTTATAGCAATTGTTCAGAAATCTCAGAAACATCCTTTACTTGGACAATTCTAGAAATGGGATACATATGTCCAAACCTATTTAAATTTCATTACAAACTACAGCTACTATTCTTTTATAATTTCATATATTAAATATGCACAAGCATAATCCAAATTAAAGTAAGTTATATTTTAATTTCACCAATATTTGAACAACTTCCCAATATTATTATATGTACTACAAATACTATACACGTTTCTATAGTACATATTATCGGGTCAAGTCAGTTATATAAAGACATCATGAATCATTATTGTATTACGTAACAATATATGATCTTACAATTTAGTGTCATATGTTTAAGATGACGAAAACTACATAAGATCATTCTTGATTAATTCCCGCGTTAGGACACATTAGTCTTAGAGCCTACTAGTCTTTTAGACCAAAATTAGGACAATAAAATGTTCTTTCTAGAAAAATCTTTGAACTAAAAAGAACGAGAGCATATTCTCTGTAGATAACTAATTTTAACGATAAAGAAAACTTTTTTTTTAAATATATAACTCAAGGGATGGGTGTGTTTAAATTGATCCATACTACAAATTCCATTTACGTATTAAAACATCATATTACCTAAGCATTAGCTAGCCGTATTAAATTTTTTTGCTAGATACAACTCTCATCTATACTAATAAAATACATTTTATTAGTAATGCAAAAGCAATTATATTTAAACACAAATATGACCTCAATTCCTTTGTATTAGCGGCTCTTTTTCCATATAATCGGAACCCGCCCTAGCTATGGCTACATTAGTACGTAAAGTACTTCATCGCTAACTTCACGCCGTAGACAACCCGTACTTCGCAGCCAGCAGTGACTCGAGTACTTCATCCCACTCGAATCTTATCCCTCGCAAGAGCCCGAGGGAGGCGCGCCAAATGTCAAGCCTTCAGCTACACGCTTACGTATAGACGCTCACTGATCGTTGACTCAAATATACCCAATATACTGGCATATACTAATGTAGCTAACAGTATTATTTTGTTAAACTATATAGACTATTAGAATTATTACGACAATTGTTCCTTTAGAACATTTCTACAAGATTATTCGCCTAAACATTAGCAGACTGTTTTTTTTTTATTTGGATTTAATTGCTAGGCTATCTTACTGACTTAGATGGTCAAAACAACTCCGTAAGTGGCTAAATCTAGATCAGAAATGTCCCAAAAAAACAAAAAAGGTCTAAAATACAATATCACTATTTCCGCGAACCAACAACAAACTACCGCAAAAAGGGGGGTAATATATTTACAACGGTGTATTGCAACCGGTATGTTTCTGCCTATTGTCCGACACACAAAACCTAGCATGACTAATTTCAATAGCTCGCTGATAGCCGCTGATGCAAAGTATGGACGTGGAAAATAACTATAAGGACAGGACATCGAATGGCGGACGCATTTACATTCGCGGGGCTCCGTGCTAACCGCGGTACATGGACATCTGACGCACTTGAAACGACATCTAGATGAATATTAAAACAAACAAAATGTAACGATTCCAGCAAAAATCTTATATACATCCATCAAGTTTCAATATAATACCATTTTATAAGCCTTAAAAAGTTTTCACAATACAAATAAAACACAAAAAAACAACGTTAACCCGCAAATGTATAATAAACAAAATGCTTACATGTCACGAAACATCTAAGTCTAAGCAAAATCTACACGTAAAATAAGCATAAGAAATGGTCCTCTGGATGTCATAAATCTACAAAATGTGCTACAGATGACAATCGTTTTCGCTTGAATATAACTCAACAATTCAAGAGCCGAAGCCCCTTTCTTTGTAGTCCTCGATCGATGGCTACTTACAATTGACATCTGACTTGTACTAAACTAGCACCCACAAATATGTTCAATTATTATTACCTAAAGCTTACATTTCATACACTTTTTATAATCCTTATCTCTAATCTTGGAAAAAAGATTTCGTTGGTCCATATCGGATATATGATAACAAAAGAGTAATAAAATTAAATAATCGCCAGGTAAAAAGATAATTAGCGCATCTAGAGACGTCGAGTCCACGGGCCGGTACCTGTAGCTCATTACCTTCGCTACCTGCCACCACAATTACAAGGCCGGGGATTTTTTCCGCGACAACAATTTCACCGTTCCCGCTATACGCCATCTTGGATTGGTTCGTTTAGGAATGTTCTGGAACGACTTGAGAATTTCGGATGGCGCTAATTCATGTTACAATAAGTATTGACAATACATCTCTTAAACCACCCACTAAATTAACTTGAATGTAATTTTTTATAACTAATCGAACACCTAGTTCTATTTACAAGTACGGAACAGGAAATCCCATATAATGGGACAAAACTGTATGCAATCATAGTGCCATGGAGGACTGCATCTCCGTGCGTAATTAAATGCACCGCTCCATTAGTGGCACGCAGTAAAAATAATAGATCAAAACTATAACAACCTCTATTGTTATATAAATAAGGGTTATAATACATTGTGCTGTTTGTAATATACAGTCGTGATCGCAATATCGTCGACGGGCACGTCTCATTCAGTGAGTGATTATTCACGCACGCGACTGTTCGGAGACTTCTTAACGCACGACTGTGAAAGCTCATGTCATTTTCTACCGGGTTATGTCAAAGCGGGGGTTTGTCAATGCTATGTATGAAGAATAATATAAAATAATTACAACCATACATAATATAGATATAAAACACGAAAGCAAGCGTTCAATATGCGATAAATGTTATAATTTGCAACAGATTACACATCGATCCCTAATAAGTCATTGCTCGTTGTTCAGCCACGCACATGCAGCGGGACGCGATTATTATTATTCGGACAAACAAAAGCGCGCGTACCATTGTCGCTTTCCGGGAAAAGATGGCCGCGATTACCGCCACCCGCCCGCGCCATCGCGCTGTAAATCATTATCTCAGTAAAAACTAATTGAAAAGAACGCTGCACCTTTTGTTATCGCGCATTAGTTATTCCGTTTGAACGTGCCTTCGACGCATTTTTGTGATATCGTTGCCCGAAGAACAGATTGTCTTCTAAGAAATTTACTAATGACTAATTATGATCTTTTGGAAATTTTTAAAGTATTAATTTTATCAGGGTAAAAGTATATGGGTGCTTTAACTGCTTACTTATTTTGATGAAGATCTTAAAATCATTTGGTTCACGATTAGTAATCTAAATGGATCAATTCCGGCAAGACTATTAAAGAGGCATAAAATGCTTGAAATTGTTTTATCCAACATATAAAAAAAAATCCAATGTTTCTAACACAAGTAATGTACAAAAATAAATCGATTCCTTACTCTGCTTAGTTACTTACCTGTTTATATATAATTCCTTTAACAATAATATCCATCGCCTCCTCAACACGAACGCAGCATAAAACCATATTCAAAACAATCACCACCACTCAGCCAATTTGAGAGGCTTCATGACGACAGTCAATACGTTATTGCTTAGTGGTTAGAATTTACGACGCCGTATTTACGAGGATCGTACACACTATAAATACTTACTAGTGAAATATAAAATACAGATTAAAAAATAAATAAAGCAATAATAAATATCAATAGACAAAATATATTATTAAAAATGTCAAATTTCCGAACGTCATGAATGTGTCAACCACTATTATATGACATATGACATACGAATATAATCGAAAATAAATATTATTAAAATTACATCAAAATGAATGTGAAAGTTATAAATATATTAATAATGAACCCCATGAATATCTCGGCGTTGTATAAACACGACATAACCTGTTGCGTCTCGTATTGTAAACTAATTAATGCGTTTTATTAGTCCATATTGTTTGCAAACTTGTCCATTCATTTTGCTCATTTTGACTACGAGTACTTGGTGATTGTTTTATTTGATAATGTTTTACGATTTCATTAATAATAATAATAATACTTATATGTTATTTATTTATATAGATACATAAAAATAATACGACTATATTAACTAGTTTTAGAGACGCTTAAATCGATCGAAATTTTTACGTCATTCTTAAAGATTTTTTTTTTGTTATAAAATACTCGTTTATTTATTATACTCGCTGATAACGTCAGGTAAATGAAGTAATTTGAACACGGATCGTCCAACGCGCTTGCTTTCATAGTAACATTTAAACATCGGCGTAAGTTCACACGGCGTTATCGGTGGCATTTGTTACAACTTACCCCAAATATTCTAAAGCCCCACGATTTGTTCCAATGACCCTCGGCCATTGTTTTGCGGGAATATAAAAAAAAAACTATCATAAAAATGTCTTGTATAACACAATACGTATTATTACAAACAGCGTTAATAAGAAAACTTTTTGGTCAAATAGAGTGAAGTCACAGCAGCATTTTGTTTAAATTGTTTTAAATTATTTGTTTTCAAGAAAAAATACATTATTATTCTAAACAGAAGCTTTATAACGTACGTAAATATATACATATTAAGATTAATGCAATTTTAAACATTATTAATTATTATACTTTTCTTTTCTATACTTAAAAGAAGATAGAACAATATATTAATAATATTTTTTAAACTTAAAAGAAGATAGAACAATATAATAATAATAACGATGAAAATAAATTACTTCTAAATACGTAATTATATTAAAAAAGTATATTTTATTACTATAGTCTGTAATGTATAGAACGCTTAATATTTTTTTTTAATCACAGGGGCTCCTTATTTGAACCAGTCTGCATCTTCATTCTTCCGTTAGGTCAGTTACTCACGTATGGAAAATATCATATTACTGTTACCCCGCTAAAGCTATCAACATGTCTACAATATTTAGTTAATATAAAAAAGAAATTAATAAAACCGCGTTTAAAAGAATTAATGTCAATTGCCAAGATGACAGTAGTTAAACATAGATTAAAAAAAGTACAATGATTTGGTAGTAAGTATTGTTGACAGATTAAAAAGTCTCAATATATATAAACTTTTTAGTTATAAGCCCTAATAAGATAGTTGAAATATTATATATATTTACATCAGGCCAGGTATACAAGGTCTGTTCCGTGAACTCATTAACGCGTTTCCGCTACCTGCCATCGTCACGTCACTTTTGTGACACGTCATTGTACTCACAAGCTATACATATACTTTACTTACTTATAAATTAAGAACATTAACTTGTATGACTAAAAAATTATTTTCTAACACTTCGTATAAAATACTTCATTAGCAAGATGTAATTATTATTTTTGATCACGCCTGATCGACAGCGGATATATCAGTAATTGACAACCCTTTTTGAGTTCTACTTTAAATGAACTCTATTGTAAGGAGATAAGATTCAAATTGATGATCAAAGCCACGAAGGTTGCAGGGTTGGGCCGTTATCTGTGTATTGGTCGAGTGGCCTCGCCGCGGCGTTGCACTCGCGACTGCCGCGATAACAATTACTGAGAAACTTATTTTGTTTACCGCAAACTTAAACAGTGAAATCAACCTTATTACTATAAGATAGAGTCGATATTTGTATGTGATTTAAAGTGACGATGGCTGTTACCGAGTCGAATACTAAATACCGAACGGTCTTCAAAGGTAACACACTAACATAGTATAGCGAAGTCCGTGTTGCAGTTAGATATCCTAAGCTAGAGGTTTGTATGACCTAATTCACAGCACTTGACTGCATTGCACAATATCTCAACTCACAAGGACAGTTCGAAACAGCTTCTTGTTGAAACTCATGCTTGGACTTATAATGTTATAGAATTCGATACAGTTTTAATTAGTTACTTATAAAGTGGTTTTAAGTATTATACCTAGGTTCGTACATTATTCTAGCTCTCAGCGAGTGTCCTCCCCTAATATGTCAGATAATACCTCGAGGGACCTCTGGCAACATTAACGCGGTACAAAACGTCTATTAAACGTAAAGCCCCATACAGGTCGTCGGCTGTAGCCCTTTCAATCCTAATAACATCATAAGCACACCCCACCCAATTAGTTATACGGCAGGTAAAAAAATATCGCACCATTATCAAACGGTTATTTGGAAAGTGAGTCAAAGAGCTGACGGGCTCATTGTACTCGATAATCTCCGGCCAGATGTCCGCCCGCACCGCTGGCCGTCTCCTGTCCTATGTAACCGTATATACGTACATATATACATTTAGATATAAGCTAGTAAGCAGCGTCTAAAAATTCAAGTCGCGGCGTCAGCGAATGCAGCCGGTCTCGCGCCATCGGGCTAATGAGTGACGGGGGGGTGTCGGCGGGCGGCGGGGGGTGTTTGTGGCGTACGAGGGGGGTCGGGCGGGGGGCGGGCCGGCGGGGGGTCACGGGGGCCGGGGGACGGGGGAGGGTCGCGGTAATGGCGCGCGGCGTCGGATGTCGCCGGGGGGTGCCGCCGCGCCGCCGATAACAAAATCACTAGAGAACGTGTGCCCAGATGCTGACAACACACTTGAAATGGACGCGGTAAATTTGACTCTTACGTCCCTCGTGTGACAACTTATAATGACGCTAATGGCTCCGCGCTAATGGCGGTCTTGGATGTGGAAACATAGTTATACTGAACACAGCATACTATGAATTATATAAAGGTTCCATTGATCCGGATACGTTTATATTAATAGGAATCCCTTGCGAAATAAACTTTGAATCGAAACCAACTGAATTATACAATAAAAAATACACATCTACCATACACGTTTTATCACCATGCTCTTGTTACTTAGACTATTAACCGATATATTAATTAAAACTGCCACATCCATTATATTTACGTATCTTCTTATCCGGTAAACATCGCCGATGCCCAAAATACAGTGCGGGCGACGCATCGTAAATCGCGCGGTCCGGAGGGCCTTTGTGGCCTCGACTTGGCACAAACATACCTACGGCTGGCTCGACACGTCTCACGACTAACGACTCCAGCGATAAGTACACTGGGCGACGGCTCAGACTTTACTAGAAACTGAGATAATACTAGGCTACAATGAGACTTGACACTTGTAGCGAAAACAACGGGAATATGTACACTAGGCGACAATTAGATTAGGTTTTAGACTTCCACCGAACACCTCAATTATATCTACAACCAATAGTTTTCTTAATAACCCGATTTTATACACAATCATTGGATAATAAATCAATTAAAAGTTCATACATCCTTATATGTATACCATACCTTATAATATGGCATTACTATTATAAACACATCTTAAATATTGTAAGAATGAACGAAAGTATTATACAATTAATATTTCAATGTCATTAAAAAGTAACATAAATTATTTCTAGATTATCTTTGGATTACATAATAAAAATTCTCTTTACTTTGCTATAATCTGATATATGCACGAATTAATTTGTTTACATAAACAACCTATTATTATGGGATTTTATAGAGTAATCTCTATACTTCAAACTTTCCAAGTCACACCGATGGTACACGAAGGTATATTTTTTTTCCTAACTCGTTTCTAATTAACTAGAGAGCATCGGTTTCGCGCGGATGCGGACTGCTTACCAAATACGTCGCATTTAAATAAACAATACATTACGCTTACTACCAGTGAATAACGTTGCACAAAACGGAAGATATGTAGTTATGATAGTTATCCATTAATATAACTACGTTTATATAGTAATGTAGGATGATTAAGTAACGAAAAAACTATAAACTATCTGTTTTAATGAAAACTCATGGTAGGGGTACCGTTACTATGGTCAGACTGAAGAGAATAGGTTTCCTGTTTCACGTACAACTTAAGATTTGCGAACTATTAAATGTAGACTTAACAATTTTACTCTCCCGTTAACAGAATAATATCGTTAAACATTATTCGTTAAATATTGCTAAACATTAATTATTATACGAACAAGTTTACAAAATATATTAAACTAGCTTTCCGCCCGCAGCTTCGTCCGCGTGGAGTTAGGTTATATCGAGTTTCCACGAGAACCTTTCAAAAGTCTGGGATAAAAACTATCCTATGTTCTTTCTCAAAGTCAACTCCATCTCGGTACCAAATTTCATTAAAATCAGTTCAGTGGTTTAGGCGTGAAAGCGTAGCACACGGACAGACAGACAGTTACTTTCGTATTTATAATATTAGTAGGGGTTATATAACTCACCAAACTTTTTAAAATGTCATTATGTCAAGTATCCGGCATTTAGTGCCCTGTAGTATTAAAATTTAAAATCAAATAATAATAAAAGCAGTACGGACTTTTTCCTCTCAGATATTATCTAGACGTCTATGCGACGAGGATAAAGATCTTATCTAAAATTATCAAATCTATTTTTATTCTCAACATTTTCACGTGTAATCTATATTTCAGGATTACAACGGCGTATGATGAGAAACTTTCATCCTGTCTTCAAAATAACAAAAAAGTGTAAACAAAATGACAAACAATAAAAAATAAATTAGTATTCTATATAACAAAATTACTAAAGACGAAGTTGAATAATAATCAATGTATTTTAGAATATCTTCAAAGCGCGAAATTGACAGCAGACAGTTGTTTATGACAATAAGTAAAAAGCGTTCGTTGCTATCACAGATAACTAAGATTGTTTCGTTTAAAAAGTTTCTATATGTCATTGTAGATTAAAAAATATGTTTATTGAATGTTTTGATACACATAGTTTTTTTACACTACATTAATGCTTTCGACCAAAACAAAAGTTCGCCACATATTCAAAGTATATTCGAACGATATTCTTCCGATAACTGTAGTGCTGAGGATGGAAATTGAGCTTAGTTTCAGAAAGTCCTCTCAGTGAATTGGAAACCAATTCAAACTATATTACTCATATATTTTTATTATGATTATATTTAATGCTGTGCCAACTTGGTGTTTTGGATATTATATATGTTATTCAGTTTAAAATACTTTTACAAATAAGAAGTAATGCTGAGAGATAATGAAGAAACTTTCATTCGGACAAAAGTCATTGGAGTCATTTACTTAATAACTGTACAATAGGTCCGTATGAGAAAAACAAGTGGACGGGAACAGCGAGTCAGCGACACGGGTCGCCAGCACTAACTGTAACTAGCGATAGAGAAAACCGCGGGACAAAGTTTACAACTCAAAGTTACGGAGCGACGAGACTCAACAAAGTCGACTCAACTTACGAACAAGACGAAACTTTCAAAGAGATCTTTTGGGGTGAAAAAAGTTGATGCGTACAGAATTAATTGCATTAATAAAGTGCGGCCGGGCCGGTGTTTAGGGACGCGGGGCGAGCGCGGGCGGCGGGCCGGGGGGAGGGGGTCGCTCGCGGCCGCCGGGGGTGAGGAGGAGGCGCGGGGGGCTGCGGGGGGCGGCGGAGGGGGGGACGCGGGGGCGAACGGACACAAAGGAGAGGCGCGGCCGGCGGCGGACCGCGGCTGGCCTTATCACGGGCACACAGTCGCCGCGCGCGCCTCGCGACGAACGTCTCGCGACACACAGACGGTCCTGACCCGCGAGCCGGGACCCGCGCCCAGACTCGTGATAGTGAGTGATACATTAAACCTGTGAGCACGTGTCGTCCGCGCACTGCGCATCTCACCTATATTTTTATTGGTCGGAAGTTTGAAGCACGCGGCCGTTTGTAATATAACAAAACGGACGAACTGTCAAAAATTGTAAACACAACACACGTGCCGGCTCGCAAGTAAGTTTACAACTTTTTAAGTTCTTACGAATTTTTGGATTTTTCACGCGATGTTATGTACATATCTTGTATTTCATTGAGTAGTAACTTTTTGATCCTCTATCTTTACGCCTTAGAAGTGAATATATTTGTTACTGTTATAAATCACCTTAAAGTATTATAAAAAATTCGCGTTAGCGGCCTTTTCGTTCAATGACTATTAAAAGAACAAATCTACCTTCTTATTGATAGGAAGTTATTCCGGACATCACTGTCTTAAATTACGCTTTATGAAATAAAATTTAGGAAAAAAACACTTTCAAATCGTTTATGTTGTTCTTGTGATAGTTATATTAATATTTGTTAGAATCTTCTATCTGTTATTTATTAAAAACGACATATTTTCGTGCACACACTACGTATTTAAACGAAAACTAAGTTCCGACGGTAAATATACGTATAAACTTTGTATTTCCCAAATTTATTTCATAAATATTTTACGTATTAATTTACTCAAAAATGTAATATATTACAGTTAACATACAAAAATATTTAACGGAATGTAAGTAGATAATACATATTAGCATTAAAAAGTCAAACTTTGTTGTAAAACGTTTGAATCAAATGAAAAAAGAGTAACGTAAACAAAACACTGTCAACAAAATTATGAAAAGTATAATATGTTATATAGCGAGCTAGTAGCGCCATCTGTTATCCGTGAAGCGACACCGGCTCCAAGGTTATGGTGTCACTGACCCGGCGATTTTGCGGCTGCCTGTTGTCGTAGGTCATAATTTTATATCTCCTTTTTGTTTATATTTTCGCAACTTTATAGCTTTCCGCATAAACGGATTTATTGTTTTAACGAATTGTTAACCTTGAGTGACGTATTGCGACATGACATTGGATGTCAAAAAAATTGATGACTTGATACAAGTGCATTGATAAAAGTTTATTGAACCCTAAGTTTTAACACTTCAGACTTTAGATAGGAAAGCGATGTTTTGATATATTTTCTCTTTGTAACAAACATTAAACACCTGTGATTGGTAATATCAAATTTTATAATTAGTAATAATTACTATTAAGTGACATTTCTTTTAAGAGTATTGAGATAATAACTTTCGGATATTGATTGTATATTATTAATGTTATAACAGTGGAATTGCGTTCTTCATCATCGATTTATGAAACTCGTGAAAAACACACATAGAATTATCTTCGAAGGAAAAAACTATTTCAAGGTATAATAAATATTGCTTTTGTTGCAGTAAGCGAGAGGCAAAGATGACAACGAAGGGAAAGCGTCCCATGCGCGCCCTCACACCCGGAGACAAGATCGAGGCCATACAGAGAGTCAACGACGGAGAGTCCAAGGCCTCGGTGGCTCGGGACATAGGGGTGCCCGAGTCCACGCTGCGGGGCTGGTGTAAGAACGAGGACAAGCTGCGCTACATGACCTCCCGCCTGTCCTCCCCCGACACCGACAAGAGCAACGACGGCGAGCCGCCCGACAAGCGCGCGCGCACGGAGTCCCCGACCGCTCCCCAGTCACCCGCCAACACCGGCCTGGACCTGTCCAGCCTGTCCGGGACTCACACCGCCGCCCCCCCTCCGCCGCAGATCGACGCTCCCGTCGAGCTCACCACCAAACGCAGCGAGCCCTCGCCCCCCCTCCACCCGCCACGGGAGCGCCGTCCCGACCCCGGAGCGAGCGTCTCCATGAGCGCCATCAGCCCGCTGTCAGGACTGGCCCACCTCCCCGGACTTACACATTCTCACCTCGGATTGAGCTTCAATGAAATAGCAAACAACCTGACACTCCTCGCTCAACTGAACCCGGGCCTGTCCACGCTGTCCGCGCAGCCGGCGAGCAGAGCGTTACGGTCCGTGCGCTCGCCGAAACCGGCTCACAACGGAGTGCTCAACTTGAACGAAAACAAACATCGCAGCAAGTCAAACCATTCATCGGACCCGTACAGACACAGCGGCTCCAAGGCGAGTCATCACGCTACTTCACAGTCAGCGAGCCAGCCCGTCGACGACACGCTGTGGTACTGGCTCAAAACACAACAGGCCATGCTGGACTTGACCTCCCAGACCACCGCTCATCCGCTGCAATTAGGAAAAACTAGTGATCCCACTCTGCCTCCTAAGCCCGTGGCGCCCACGCCGCCCGTCAGTTCGCACCTCGACTACAACAGAAACTCTTGGTTGTGGCAGTATTACAAACAGTTCGGTGGAGCGATGCCGGTGCCGGAAGACAAACACAAGCCGGCGGCCCAGGTACCGAAAGACAAGTCCGGAGACATCTTGTTCTCACATTTAACTAAAGCGAAGCCCGAGGACGACCGGAGCATCATTAGTCCTGACCAGAGCCAAACACTGTCGGCTAAAGTCCGTGAGACAGTCCCGCCGCCGCTCTCGGCCGCTCCCGCGGAACCTCGAGTGGCCGAGCCCGCCACGAGCCCGGACGTCGGTACCGAGAACAAGGAACCCTCGGTGGAGAAACCCATAGAGTCCGGCAGAAGCCAAACCAAGGCCAGGAACGTGCTCGATAACTTACTGTTCAACAGCAGCCAAGCGGCCAACGAAGAGAACAAGAGTAACGGCTCGACGAACGGCGAGTGGGAGGCGGGCACGGCGGAGGCTCTGGAACACGGGGACAAGTTCCTGGCGTGGCTGGAGGCGAGCGGGGACCCGAGCGTGACCCGCATGCACGTGCACCAGCTGCGCGCGCTGCTCCACAACCTGCGCACGCGCCGCGCCGCGCCCGACGCGCGCCGCAAGTAACCCCGCGGCCTCCGTCGCTCGCTACAGGGATCTATTCAATTACTTGTACATAACTAGTATATACGTCGTCGCCAGTAAGCGTTCACTTGTGATATGTGTAGCCAAATTTGCGTAATTTCTTTGTTCTAAAAGAAAAGCTATGCATTAAATCTGTTTACTTTTAGTTTAGTTAAGTTATGAACCGCCGCGGTCTCGGTGAGCTCCGCCAGCGACCTCTGTGAACACTGCATTAGATAGCTCCGTGTTTTCATCAGTCTTTATATTCAGATATGGTAGTCTTGTAAATGAATGTTACGTATTTAACGGCGAACACTTTATTTTCGATGCACGCATACTCCTCTTTCAATATAGTGTAAGTAGTGCCGCTGCTACATTCCCCTTGTACCCTACTCTCGTAGTTGAGCCCCGTGTTCTACCTCAAGTCATGAGCATAGCTATGCTAAGTCACGGCGTCCTTTCAAACCCTCGCCTCCGACGGCGTGTCACTCCGCCTCCGAGACGGTGACACGTGAGGCTCCTCATACCAAATAGTGGAAGGATGTTTCTCGTGTGCCAATCATACGAACAAGGTGTATTGTTAAGATAATTTATGATTATTGTGTTAGAGCTAAATACACGTCTGATTGTTTTGTATTGCTCAGTATTTTATATTGTAGACATGACGGATGTCGACATCGGAATTGTATTATATGTTAAAGTTAACAGTTAAGGACACTGTGATCAAAATTATAAATTATTGAGAGATTATTAATATTGTAAGTACATTCCTAATAAATAGAGTGTATTATTGTATGTTGAACGATTGTCCAATGAGCCGGGGGTGACCGAACCTTCTAGAAGAGTTTAGAGCTCCGTTTCATTGAAGTTAGAATAGTTAATTTGCATTTCGTGTTAATTTTATTAGCTCCACGGGAAATTATTTGAGAGATGTATTTTGTACAAAATTACAAATTGAAATTATTAAAATTATACTCCTTACACAAAGTATGTGATCTTGAAATGTTGAGAATTAAAGATTAACCTTTACATGATGTTTTTATTACCCTTATCATTTTAATATAAATTACTCTACTAGTATCAAGACATAATATGTATTGAAATTAACTGGCTGTATTCAAAACATATAAAAAATCGTTTCAAGTATAATTTCATTTTTAAATAAATTAAATATATAAGTCAATGGTGAAAAATAAAAATAGGTATAGAGTTATAACTAATAAGTTATAAACTCACAACTTTCAAAGCTTTCAATGTTAAAGCAACTAGCGCCATCTTTTGATTGATTAAAGAATATCAGGGACGGCCCAGAACAAAACTATAATATAAACTTAAGCCCTTGATATCTATATTTAATATGTTACTAATTACTATAAATTAAATTCCATATATCTAGGTCGAAGTGGCAAATCTTTTCAAAATTATCTTAATTATTATTATTTCAAATCACAATCAGCTCCATCTATTAACAAGTGGCGCAACTAACAACAGACTCGCAATACTAAGACCACAGTTATAAGGTTTACTTACATGTAACATGGGTTTTTTAAGAGGTTCGTAGTCGAAATAATCTGATAGCAACGCAGATATTCCTTGCCAATTAGTCGTGTCAGCGAAACATAGCTTTGTAGGTCGGATGGAGGTACAAACCATTTTCTAGGAACAATGATTTTATAAAATAATTACTCAAATAAAATGGAATTGAATTTAGTAAGCGATTTTTTATAAGAGAATTGTAAGTTTACCTCTAACCCGCATTCGTTTACAGCTTGCAAAAATAAAGGCTTTCTCAATTTGTAATGAAATAGAAACTGTCTTCTAAAATTTTCCGCGTACGCCAGAAGAAGTCTTTCTTTATTCGTATTTGTATAATAACTAGTAGGAAAACAGGTGCGTGTCTCAAATACTGGTTCTTTAATTTCCGGCCAACACAAATTAATAATACCTAGTTCATATATAGCATTGTTCAATGATTCTATAGTTAAAGGTTCCTGTATATCAATCAATCCGAAAATTTTAGGCGGTAATTCTTCGAATTCGCCTTCTTCAGTTGGTCGGTCAAATAATTGACTTGCAACATTTTCGTTAATTTCTAAAACTGGGTCAAGCTGTTCTACATCAGTCTTCTTATCTGGGTTGAACGTTTCCAAAGTTACTTTTGCTGTACTCATTTTTCATTGATTCCAATAATTTCAAATTAATATGAAATTCGTTTAAATTCATTAAACAAAGTTAATACTTCAGTTGGTGTCCACAAATGATAATATAAAAATCAAAATATGCAACATGTCTCGTACTACAAAAAACTAGGTCAATAGACTATTGCTTTCAGATTTTCAGTAACCCAGCAACAATCATTGAATGAATTATAGAATTCAGGTCTGAAGTAAAGCCTCCTTCTAATAAATATATAATGAATTATACAACTTTACCTATGATTGCATATAATCTTAGTAAAATATGTTAACATTTTATATCTACAAATATGTGTATTTGAAACGTTGTGATTGAAAAATTTTGTATATTATATTATCTGGCAGATTTTTACACATATGTCAAAACTATAATATTGTCAAAGTCATATATGACAGTGTTGACAGTCATCAAACTACAGAAGCATTGCGTTGAATTGATTCAATACTTCAATTTTAGTCTCTTTCAATCTCTTTATAAGGTACACAAGTCTTTGTACCAAAGTCTGTGATTTGTCAATTCTATATAAGTATCAACGAATTTCGTTGAACTTAATAATATTCAAAGGTCGTTTATTTCATACTAAAAAGAACATTACATTTACCAAACAATATTTTTACTATTCGCATTTATTGTTTGTTTTTAACAAAACTGAATATATTTCCATTGTGAATGTAAATATTGACGCAATTTCATAAAGTATTGAAAATCGATTAGTTCTCTTAGATTATTAAACTTATCAGTTTTAAATTCCTTGTCATAGGCTGATACCTAAATAGAAAAGGATATTTAAACGTAGTATTTCATAGAAAATGGGTAACAAATCGTCATTGTTGTTACGGGAGGAAGAAATTGCGCAAATACAAGAAGAAACTGGTTGTAAGTTAACATGTCTTTTTAAAAGTTGTGTTACGTCTTTGTATTGTTATTTTTAGTTTTTTATTACTCTCAGTTACACCAAACCAGATAGAGCGGCTTTACTCACGATTTACGTCTCTGGATAAAAACGACTGCGGTACTCTCTCACGTGAAGATTTCCTCAGAATACCAGAATTGGCTATCAATCCATTAAGCGAGAGGATAGTTCACTCGTTTTTTGCTGACAGCACCGACGACAGAGTCAACTTTCTACAGTTTATGAGAGTATTGTCACATTTCAGACCTATTAGGAAGAATAGGGAGAACAGGCTGAACAGCAGGGAAGAAAAATTAAGATGTAAGTATAAGAAGTATGAACAGTCATTTGAATTCAAGATTGAAATCATTAAATTTACTAAAACTATTTGACTGGACCACAAATTACTCGTAGAATCGAATTATTAACAATTTCTTTTTGTAGCAGCAATAAAAAATAGGATACAAATAAATGGAATGTATCTAGATCAGTTCATCCTGAATATTGTATGAACGAAATAGTTTAAAATTTTTGTAATACTTTTGAAAGAAATGAAATCTTATTAAAGTTAATAAAATTTTACACATCAGAAACAAATATTGTTGTATTATGTGTATTATTAACTGATTTCTTCAGAAGAAACATACAAAATTTAGTTATATTTAATTTCAGTTGCATTCTCAATGTATGATCTTGACAATGATGGCAAGATATCGAGAGACGAACTGTTGGCTATCTTACACATGATGGTTGGTGTTAATATAAGGTCTGTAATATTTATTAATTATCTTTATACTTACTCTTTCTATATCATGAAATACCCAGTAGAGTGTAATAAAGAGCAGATTGATTGTTTATATGTATATTAAAAAGCCAGAACTAGATACATATATTGACTAATATGTTAACATACTCTAGAGGTTTAGGTAGTATATATTTATATGTTTGCCTACAATTCTAGAATTCTTTGATAACATAAGATTCAATAATAAAAACATACTCTTGGAAAAATATTTCATCAGTAATAATGATGTGTATTTTGGGCATATTTTGATAAAAATCTACATAAATTATCAATTATAGTGTATTAATATAGTAAAAAACTAGAAATTCCTTGTTGGACTAACTATATATTATTTGTATGTATAGCTAAATAGGTAATCAACCTTTTAAAGATCGTCACATTCATTGTGTGTAAAAAAAATTAATCAATTTTTTTGACCAATTAAAACATATTACAATGTTATAGCTATATCATAATTACTGATAATATGACCTTTGATTATAATAAAATTAAAGATTACTGATACAAATTATTCTCTAAGCAACAGTACTATCAGGCAATATTTCTGATTTCAGCGAGGAACAGTTATCTAGTATTGCTGAAAGAACTATATTGGAAGCCGATACAAATAATGATCAAATGATTTCATTTGAAGAGTTCTGCCGAGCACTCGAAAGGACCGATGTTGAACAGAAAATGTCTATACGATTCCTGAATTGACCACCTATGAAGCTAATATGACATTTCTTTAGTGTAATGCTTATTGTTTTCTACGGGCTGCTAACTAAGAAAAATATTTAGCCGCTGCAGGCTAGCTGTAATTAAAATTATATTTGTAAGGGGTTGTAGAATAGTTATATTTATTCAATATATATATTTTTATATAATTCAAATTAAACAACTTCTAATAAGTGTAGTAATTGTTTCAGTTCTCATAATAATTTTACTGCACTTAAGTGCAAGGGTCTATAGTTTTAATTTAATTTATTATCAAAAATTATATATATTATTCTAATAAAATCTGAATTTTATTATTGTTAAAATACTTATTTTAATAGAAATAAAATAATACATAAGCAATTTATTTTTTTATTTCATGTTTTAAAAATTATTCCTATTGGGTAATATTAAAATTAATTTACAAAGAATTCCATTGCCATATATGAAAACTATTTTTATTCTACCATAATCTTTATTTCAGGGATAAATAAAAATTTAAATATTCTCACAAATACATTTATATTGTTGTATTAGATTACTGAAAGATTGGAATAACATATAACAAATCAATTTACATTTATATTCTAATTTTATGCTGTTGATGATACAGCCAACTTCTTGAGATGCTCCATGAATACTTGCAGTGAAACATCGTCCGTCAACACGGGGGCGCCACCGTCCTGTTATAAAAAATATATTAATATATATAAAAGAAAATAATTATTAACATGCAACCCTCAACCAGAACCACGTTATAAACTAGTTTAATTTACCCTTAATATTTTATTTTTATGTATACTTAAAGCATTTTTACAATATGTTGTATTAACTATAGCAATTTATTAATATTCATTATTACTTATCCAGAGAGCAAAACACATTAATTACATTTGATACATGAAAATATTATCAATTATAAAAATATATGCTACTGAAATCCAGAACATAATTAAAAATATACTTAATTAGAGACCAACTTAGAATAAATTAACACAAAAACGTCATAAACGCTTCTCGTATAACATACATGAACATAGATCATATATTATATACATGCGAATTATATAAATAGCTTTTATATATTTATTAGTTATTAAGCGAAACATGCAAGCAAAAGTATAGTGCGTAGCCCGTATCTGAAGCCCATAATTCTGAATATAAAGAAAAAAATAAAAAAAACTCTACCGCAGATGGTATCGGCATCGCCTGGTTTCGCGCCAAAACAACGATGGAACAGAAAAAAAATAAAAACGTCAATTCAAAAACCATGCTTGGTTGCGATAAAAAACATGCATCGAAATTTTATATTTAATCAAATAAAAATTATTAATATCTCTTTAAAGTGCAATTAAAGTGTTCAAAGCATTTTGAACAACATTGATATTAAATAAAAATCGATTATTTTATTCCACTCACCCCGCCGTAGGCGTACATGTTGTTGTGTGTCCTTGAGGGATTCACTTTCGATAGAAGGAATCGAGCCTGTAATGAAAAAAATAATAATCGAATCATCAAAGTGTTATAGTAATTTCATTATTCAATGTTTAGCCTCGCAGCAGTTAGGACATCGGGTATCAATGATGTTATGGCGGGTTATTCTGACGACGGGCGCGCTCACATGTACGTTATCACGCACACACGCACACGGTCCCAGAGACCGGATAAAAGGTTTTGATTGATATATAATAAACATATAGCTGTTCGTTTGGATAGAAACTTAAACATTTTAAGTTAATTACAGATTTGATGTGCGTACTATTGTTGAGTGGTATACAAAAGGAGGAATTGGATGTGAGCGTGTTGAACAAACTGCAGCGACACAATGTAAACATTCACGATACAAACAATGGGTTAGTGTTTCATTACGATAACTATTAGAATTCTATGCTATTAGAATATCAGTGAAAACACAATGTTCCCTCGTTCCAGTCAATTACTACAGGAGTGTATTACGTTACGTAATATGACTGACGATGACACTATCAGTACGACGGTGACGTATAATACGACTAATGGTAAGTATTATTATAATATTCATTTACAATGCCCAAAAAAAATCCACCATTTCTAATATGTATCTAATTTATATCACTGTTAATGCGACCTTAATCACCCATGATTAAAAAAAAATAAGAAAGTCAAAATCTTTTTTTAAACTTCCTTTTTTCAGGAATCACTGAAAACATACAAGCAAATAATTCTAGTTCTGCAAATATGCAAAAAAATACAATCGAGTCTAATAACAGTGACTCATTAGCAACGTACGATTCAAATATTAAGACTAATAATAACGCTATACAATATTATGATGGGAAACCAAAATTGGACAGTGTGTTGAAGTTCTGGAACGATATGAAATTCGATCAAAAGATTACAACCGAAACTATACGTGCAAAGAACGATCCAGAAAGATCTTACGTTCCAGAGACGAAAAACAAACGCGACGCTGACGAACACGACGAAGAGGATGATATAAAGACCTTACTTGAAAACTACTTTAAAAACAAAAAGATTAAAAACGGAAAACACATCACAGAGGCCGCGACGAAAAGAGGTTTTATTGACAACTATAAAGACTATGTAAAGTCGAGACGTAGTAACAAGAGAGATGACGAATTTAGTTCAGACCATAATCTGCCATACTTGCTACCTTTTGACGGTCAAAAACATTCTAGAAGTCCACTTAGAATTATCTCGGATAAAGATGAAGGTGGATTCAATCATGAATATGAGGACAATAGTAAATATTCTGATGATAAAAGAATATATCAGAATTCGTACCAGAGGAGACTTATAGATAAGGAGAGTTTGGTCGTCACTACGGAGAGACAGAGAGAAAAGAATTTCTCACAGGACATGATAAAAGAAATAGCGGACAGTGTTAAGGAACTTGTGCTTAGAGATCTGAAACTAAAACTACAAGAGACTACAGCGAAGACTACGACTACGACTCAAACGACACAAGTTACAAGTAAATAATTTGTAATTACATAATAATATATAATAATCATTATTTTTATCGAATTTCCTACAATTTTCAAATTTCAATATGTAAACTCGGTGCCTATGTAATAATTTAAAAGGGTATTTATTTTTTTGACATATAGCACTCATTTACCAAGTTCGTCCATATTAGTCAAGGCGTTTTAGACACACGACCAAAATTTTCCAAATATTTATATTGTGTATATTTTTTGTTGCAGCGTCTTCAGAACCAACCATGGATAATAATATAAAAATTCAAGAATCAGTACTAAAGAAATTCCTCGAAATGTTTGAAGAGTTTAAATCTCTGAAGACTAACAGTGTAGTGATATCTAGTCCGCACAATAAACAAAATGTTCAACAGTTACTACCGCCCGCTATACCTTATGGAGCTATACAAAAAGGAGCACAGATGCCAAATAACAATCCGTACGGATATCCGAAGAGCGATCCAAAAATAAACTTCAATTATGAACCACAGGAGCATAAATTTAGAATAAACGAAGGCACAGTCACAGTCAGAGCGCCCAGAAAACGATTAATACCCATCACGTTTCAGACAAACAATCTAGAAATACCACCGTTAGGTATACCCATAGAAAAACCAATGAATCCTATAAACCAGAACATTGTAGTCACCACTGAAATTCCCTACAGGATAGGGGTCATAAGTAACGCGTTGAAACCTAGGAACAATCCCTTTGAGGAAACTAAAAATATTGAACAGTATTTGTCAAAACCAATCCACATTCCTAAATCTCGCGACAGTTATAAAGTACCAATAAACGCCGACGAAGTACGATTCATGTTGAACGACGGACCCAAACATCATAGCAATTATTACGAAAAGAGGAATCCCAAATACCATCCGCGCTCAGACAACACCTATATAAAAACACAAGAAATTCCACGCTTCCACGAACGACTGGAAAACGCTGATATTCTAGATGTACCAGCCAAAAAAAGATACACCGATAGGGTCGACTGTTGTAACGAGAAATACTCGTACTCAAAACAAATGGTGGAGTGTTGCAACAGGAAAATAGCATCGAGACAACAGTTGTCCTTGAACAGTATGAAGAAGGGCAGATATGACGACACACACTTTAAGAACTTCCTCAAAACACAACAGAAGGTCACTGACATGCTGGAGAGGATCCTCACCACCAGAGATAAAGTACGAAGTGTTGAAACGTCTTAACTCATAAAGAATTACAAAGGATTATTACAATTTCCCAATTAGGGCCAAAAAAATTGAAATAAAAAACATGCTGAATAGAAATCCTGATTAAGAGTTTCATTTTTAATCAAATGACTCAATTGAAATTACTTCTCTAAAGTTATCAAAATATCTAGTTAGGAAATAATTAATCTGAAAATATAGTTTTGATATCTTTTCTATTATAAGTCATGTTGTTGGATGTCTAATAATTAAGATATTAGAATTTCGTATTTAAAACTATTGACTTGCAAATTTTAAATCTGATTATAAAAAAGACTCAAAATGTTAACCAAGAAATAAATCACACAGTTGTATCTCTTCTAGAAGATGTATTTATTATAGTATGTTTTAAATATTTTATCGCATACTGTCTGTGTGTAAATTTAAGTAATCTATGTACTTCGGTGATAGTGAACAATAAATTATTATATTGGAATTTTCTTTTTTATGTAATAACCAATAAATGTTCTAACATTAAGATAAACTTTATGAATACTACCTTTAAATTTGCTACATAGTCAAGTAGTCCGACTAACCTGTGAACCTCCATGTTCTGTGTCAATATACCGAGGGACGGGGAATCTGTTCTGCAAGATGTCCTGAGCATCATCTACGGGAGCCCTCAACAGCTGGGCGAAGCTCTCATACTCGGGCATGTCCTGGTATCGCAGCGCCCTCCATTGAGCTATCGTCTATGGGTTTATTAAAAATATAATTAGTAATAATTTTATTCATATGAACAGAAATTAAAGCTAAAACTTGTTTACTTATATAAATAATTTATTATTATTTTTGAATATGTTCTAAAACCTTCTCAATGTGAGAAGAGGCCTTTATCTCAACAGTAGGCTCTAATAGGCGGATGATGATGATGATGATATGTTGATTAAGCAATTTTATTTGGAAATCTATTTGCTATGTATATCTGATATAAAGGCAATTTAACTCCATGGACCATATTTTAATAAATTTTCACACTTTTAATATACTTTGTTTGTATAGTGTTCAAGTATTTTTCTACCGTTTACACACCTCTCCATGGTATATCAAGATCTGGAAGAAAGTGTCCATAAGCAGTATCCTGTCAGGTTGTATGGAGGAAGTGTCCAACAGAACTGGTTCTGGGGGACCTCCGAAACTGTAGGAGTAGAGTATGGGCTGGATCATGATGAGGGACTGGGTCAGGTCCTCACGCATTAACATGTGTCTGGAATATAATAAGATTAATTAATAACACATATATTGTTATGTGTAGTTAGATACACAGGAAATTTAGTCGTAATCAAGTTTTAATATATAGTTGTTAAAATTAGTTTGACATATATTTCTTTAAATTATTCTAGAGTTACAAATCATGACAAACAAATATACATTTATATGTATATGTATGTATCATGTTACCTATAGAAAGTAGTTTCATCAGGCGAATTATTGAATACTTGAAGGAACTGTGATCTCCGGAGGTGGTACATGAACTGAGGGTACAGGCTGAAGTTCTCTGACAGACGGAAACTGTTAGGATCATCCTTAGCATACTCCCCGAACTTCTGACACTGCAAATAATCATATATTTAGTGACAATATATATATACAAAATTTCTATATCATTCTATGTCTTTTATTATGTAATATGTTGGCATGTGTGTGTGTATATGTAAATGGTTACTATAAATTTCAATAGTCACACTAAAGATGTTGTATAACCAGTTACCAATTCTTATTTATTTATTTATTTATTTAACAATTTTTTAAACATGCCAGAAACATTAAGGACAAAAAAAAATATAACACAGAAAAAATAAGTTTAAAAGGTATACTTATCCCTAGAAGGGATTTCTTCCAGTATACCCAGGAAAGAAGAAGTGTAGACAGAGAACCTAAGGCAGACGGCAAAATCGAGATATCTTATATAGACCTCTATCAATTCTGATGTCTTCTACTTCCTGGCAATATTCCAGCTTTTTGCTAGGGTCTGCCTTACATATTGTGAATAGTTTTGGCTAATTGTTTTTACGACAGGCGGCCTGCCTGACATCAACCCTCTTTGGGAATGCATTAATCAGTGATGTCTAAATACTCTAAGAATGTACATATGACTAGGAAAAATCACATTGGTACTTGCCAAGATCGAAACCGCCCCCTCATGCATGAGAGGCGGGCCTTTTACCCACTAGGCCACCACTGACTTACTAGATGTATTATGACTGAAGTCCAGATACATAATTATATAGTGTTAACAACGACATGTGGTAATGTTTTAGTATGTAGTATGTTTGTCTGTACCAATCGTATCAACATCCGGTCAAGCCAGCGCAGTACATCCGGTCCGTCTTCTTGTTCAGCGCGGTACACCACTAGACGGGCCATCACCACCGCGGCGGCTTCTTGATCGAAACCGGCTGATATATGATGAAGGTTGACGGCAGCATCACCCCAGCTGGTCAGAGGTGGTTTAATTTAATATTAACTACAATATTGCTATTATAGAATTATTATTATAAAAGAATTTTATGATATTTAAGGTGCAATATTTACGGGTGTATTATATTTTATGCTGAAGTATATAAAAGTTTTTTTATAGGTTTGTATTAATAGTTAAAACTTGTAAAATGTTTTTAAAAAGGATTGTAATAGAAAATTTTAATACCATAGAAATTAGAACATTAATAAAGAAATAATTAAAAATCAGTAGAAACTAGTGCTATTTTGGGCATATTAATGTAATAAAAAATCATATATCTATAAGTTATAATATAAAAGAAAAACCGTTTTGTAATTTACTGCCAAAGATGAAATATCTATTCTACTATACACCCAAAAAATAAAAATAAAATACATATCTAGCACTGACAAAAGGACGAAGTTTACAAAATTTATCTTGTTTCATTATCAGCATCATAAAAATCCTACAAATATTATAATTGCGAAAGTTTGTGAGTGTGTGTGTATGTTTGTTACTTCTTCAGCTGACGTCCACGAATAACACATAAGCTACTTTACATCCCGGGAATCTCGGAAATCCCGGAAATCCACGGGTAACACCGCGGCGCACAGCTAGTAGATCAATATAATAATAATTTTTATTATTACTTTCTAGCAATGGTGGTGACTCTGACTCGTCTCTGTCCGCTGGAGTGCTGGTATTGTGTGATGAGCTGGACACAGCCTCGGCCACCTGCTGGCAAGGGCGCTGTATGCTGATTTACCACCTGGAAAACACACACACATATATATATATATATATATATATATATATATATATACAGTGAACCCCCCTTAATCCGGCAGCCCCTGTAATCCGATATGATCTATTATTTATTATTGAATATATATTTTGTATTTGCTAATTCATGATTGAACAAGTTACAACTTGTACGCACCATCACTATTGCTTAGTTGGAATTTGAATTTGTACTTCAGAGTACATATATGTACATATGTATATATAATATGTAAATAATCTTATCGTTGAATCTGTAATTTTTCGGAGTACAAGGTACTCTTTTGTAAGAAAATCCGGACTTAGGCAGTACTCTATAATCCGACAAATTCAATAGTTTGACACTACCCTGCAAAATGTTTGTCGGACTACCAAGGGTCCACTGAATATATATATTCCTATATTATATAACATTTAATTTAACATAAAACAGATAATGACTTAGATATGATAGCCAATTTGTAAGTCATTTCTGATAGTAATTATGATTGCTAATGATGGCCAAATGACTGAATCTATTTAGTTAATATCATTGTATGTGGTAATTTATTTAAGCATGCAATTAATTATAATAATTTCAGTATTTAAAGACTGTTTTTATGTTGATTTTAGATATAAATTATATACAAATCTAATGTTTAATGTTGAATTCCTTGTGATAGATCAAGAAATACATTTTTATATGTTATAATATATGAAATTATTACCTCAAAGAAGATAGCCATTGTAGTGCTGGGTGTGAAGGTGCACATTTTCCATTGGCATGTGTTACCCATACCGACCTCCTGATCGGACACACACGGGCCTTTGACATTCAGAGAAACACATGACCCGATGGCACCAGATACTGGAAATGGGAAGAAATATAATAATAAATATCTACAAAATAATTAATTTATATCAAACAAAACTATTATTTAGTGTACAAATAATTTTATGAGATTATGTAGGTATTCTGTAATTATACAACATACTCTTTAGTTCACGGCTGCATTTAACTTCCAATGTTCCGTTGAATGCCATTTTGTAATCTCCTTTCTGATCCTTAGCAAAGACTCTTTGGAAGGTTTGCTTAAACAATGACGAATTGAATGAATCACCCATCACCATGTGTCCACTGTAAGAAAATTTACATAATTTTATAAAAAAATTAACTTAGAGTGAAAATTAAATGATTTTATATAACTATATTATACACACCCTGTAGAGTTACAACACTGTTTCATCTCCATCAATCCTGTCTGGTCTAGAGCGCATGAGTAAATATCAATAGCATGACCATTAGTGGCAGCCCTAAGGGACAAAGCTTCATAATGTTTGATAGCCTTCTTCATATATTTTGCATTATCCTTATGGATGTCGTGATGGGAACGAATGGGTTGCTTCAACTCGTCATTGACAACTTGACCGGGGCCTTGAGAGCATGGGCCTCCAAGGAACATCATGATTCTGGCACCAGTATTGGGGTATGTAACCTCCAACATGCCGACAGCTAATGATAGAGCAACACCACTGCTTCTTAGAGGACGTTTTCCGACACCCAATGGCCATGGGTCACGACCTAGTTCACTCAATAAATCTGTCAGAGCCATGTCACACTGTTTGACTGGTTGCAAGAACCTATGTGCCGGTGGCTGAGGTGGGGCAGTACCAGGTCTCTGTTGAGGGTTAGGTGCATTGACTCGGCCTATTGCTAATTGTTCTTGAATTTGTTTAGCTGTCAAATCTTTAGTGCCCTTGAAAACATAGCACTTGTATATGCCTTCAGTTCCTATAATTAGAGAACATATTAACAATAGATTAATGAATTCCTAAGTGATACAACTTCTAGTAGTAAAACATATAAAATAGAACATTTTCTCAAGTAGTGTTAAAGCTTAGCTTACCCAATTCATGAATTTGAACCATACGGCCAAATGTAATGAGTCCAACGAGAGCATTTTGAGGCATCAGACTAAGTGAAGTTTGCAGGGAGTCTTTAAGAGCTCCGAGTTCTTCTTCATCGAGGCAAGTATCAACCACAAGCAGAAAAATGGGTGGCATGCTTTGTGCTCTGGTAATGGTGTACTCTATGGTGGAAAAGTTTGGGATGAGCTCAGCTGGTTGATGTTGTTCTGATATAGCAGCATATTGTGGGGGAAACTGAAACATGGTTGACATAATTAAAATTTAAATGAACTATTAAATAATGACATTTCTAATATAGATCTCACTTGCTGGAATTAGGACTATTTGTTTCAAACAGTTTTATTTATACTTTTTTACATTAATAATTTGCTTATAGTACAAAATAAATATTCTTTTTTTATAAAACTATATATTTCCAATAAGATTATGGAGACTCTTATAAAAGTGACCTTAATTGTGCAACAATCGCTCATTATTACAAACTATTCAGATATTTTTTTTTAAGAATAAAGAACGAAATTATGATTAGAAACAACATTTATATTATATAGGAAAATTACTCACGGGATTTCTTTGGAAACAGAAATTGCAGACCCACAATTTGGCTCTGTAATCCACTTGGCACATAGGATTGAGTACTGCACGACAAGTATTACGTGTGCATAATACTGGTTCATATTGAATTGGAGGTAGGTCCGGTCGTTCCTTCAATGGCTGGTAAAGACAAACTAAAGGAACAACAAGCCTTGTAGCTTCAATTCTACTTGAGGCCCATACGTTCCACGTAAACCTGATGCCATCTCTATCTTCATTTTGTTGAATAAACTCTTCATAAGTTGCCATTTCACCGTTCTATAATATTAATTCGAAAAAACACCTCTTTTATACTTTCAAGATAATATATAAAAATATATATAAGATCGTGAAATACGCACCACAGATACATGTATTACTGAATGCCCAGATGTACTAGCCGTGTACGGCTAAACAAATATTAGTCCATTCAGGAACGTAAATAAAATGAAATTTATACTATATTTTTTACCAGACGGACCTAGCCTAGCTGATTTGGCAATAGGTACATCCATAGAGACCGAACTGTCACTTTCGCCACGTCATTTTTAAAAACAAAATAATAATCAATGTATTTATTTTCTTTTAAAAATTAATTTTCAAAAATAATATTAACCACGTTAAACGATTTTTTTCTATTTCAAATAAATAATATTATTAAATAATAATATACTCAAAGAAGGCGTCTTTGTCTATACTCAGAATGCTTCTCGTTTCATTTCATGCAAAATTATCTTTTAATGTAGGTAAATTTTAATGAAAATAAAACAATTCGACTAATAGTAATTATTTTATTATTTGAGTTAAGAATACTTTATGATAAAAGAAAATACTTGTTATATAAAATCAAAAATCTTGTATTAAAAATATCAAAGGAACGTTCCTATTTTTATAACAATCATCTGTGGTAATGAAACGTTCGTGAATGAAACATTTTTTTTTAATTTTTAGGATAATAGTAAATTTAATTTCAATTGTAGGGCATGATTTGTAAAATTGTCGAAGTAATATTTCAGTAACCCATATCTTGGACAAAATAAGTGGTTATATTATTAATAACATGTCATTGCTTTGTTTCAAGAGCAGGAAGTTTACGCCAAAAAGTGCGACTGCGCACTGGCCAAATTAGTAGTGTGAAAGAAAATGGCGATCAGCGAAAGGCGTCCGGAGTTAACGTGATGAAAAACATTGTTAAAAGCTCAATTAAATAGTGTTATAGTTATTAATTGTGTCAGATGTAGATTAATTAAGTGTTAATGAATAGTGATTGTGTATAAAAATGGCTGCGAATATGTACAGAGTCGGCGGTAAGTAACAATAATTGGTTATTTTTGTTGTAGCTTCGCCGGTTCACCGCCAGCCGACTAGCGGTGCTTTGCTTTGATTGTCGTACCTTCATTAATTGCTTATATTAATTAGTTCAGTCTTAATATTCGCAAGATTTCAGTAAGCTGAATTATTTTAAAGACAATTCAAACACTAAAGACCGTTTTAAATGTTATTTTTATGGAATACTTATTATTTTACCCAAATTCTTCAAATAGGACATAAGCATTTGCATCTAGGTATCACTGTATCGGCTTGCGTGCGGATGGTGGGATATAAGAGTCAAGTGGTTCGCGGTTATTTATCGGTTAGTTTCCTAGCCTCTGTTGGGATTTGATAGGTTTGACACGAGATTTTAGGTTATAATTGATGTTGTCAAAACATTTTGATGCACATTTCTGTATTAGTTGGTTAGAATGTGACTCGTATTGGAGATTGATAAGATATTGACCGTTACCGAAATCGGTTTTAGTCAGTTCTGAGATAGTGGTCTCGCTTAAGACCGGGGGCGCGCTTCGTTTTAGCTGATGAGTCTGGCGTAGCCGCGGAGGGCAGGCCGCTCTTGTGGCGCGCTTGGCGGTCGTGGAGCCGAATGTTAATTAGCTCTTCCTTTATACTACTTCCTATCACTAAATATCGCGTCATTGAAAACTTTTGTACTATCATTGACTGGTATACATAGCAAAATTTTGGAGGGAATTTTACTTTTATTGTTGAAATGTTATACTTCTATTCATTTGTATAGAATAAGAACAACCTGTATATATTATTTACAACTATCAATTTACTTTAAAAGCTCTTTACCATAATGAAACTTTTAAATAATTTAATTAATATTTAATAATTTGTTAACATTAAGGAAATGCCGCGGAGTGATCTAATGTGTCTCATAATTATTGATTTGTATCATCCATTGTCTTTGTATATGTAAATAAGTTTATTAGGTAGATGTATATAAGTAAATTTTTATAATATATGCTAACATGAAAAACAATGTAAATGTACAAAATTTTTATATTCCCTTCATTGGCTGATGCCTAAATGAGTTCATTGGCCTTTGATAAAACGACAACAGGTTTTATTTTAAATTAAAAATACATATGATAATTTCATAACTTATGTCTGAACCATTGTTGCAAAGTACATGATAATTTTCCTTGAAAATAACAATAATAGTTACAGTGTAAAATTTAACCGAATATTCAGTAATTAATTAAGATATTATGAGTCATTTCAATTGGTTAGAGTATAAAGTAATCTGTTGCTAGTGTTTTAGATAAGTCTTATCATTTATAAAGTAAACATTACCAGTTCTGACTTAAATTTTGTTATAATAATATTAAAACTAAGTAATTTACATAAATAATGATATTATAATATTCAAAAAGATTAATATTTTTAACTGATTGCATCTTATACACATCTTTCCTAACTCACATTCTGAATACATATAAATAAAATTCCAGAATAATCAATTATTAAAATTCACTAAATACGTAATTTAATATATGTATATATCTCAAACACTAGTGTAGAATATATATGCAATTATATCATATATATATTTATTTGGATGCAAAATATAATTTATGCCATTGATAGGTAACCTAAGTCGTAGAGTATTTCAATGTATTCTCTTAAAAAACCCGTCACAAGATACATAAAAAGTAATTTATGGTAGAAAGTTTGCCATTTGAAAAATTATTACAAGATTTAATACGTTCTGAAGATTTCAGGTACATAATAATCATATGATTAATTAAATACTAAGAAATTGTTATGATAAATATTTTGGAGAAACAAAAGCATTCCTTTGTTATCATAGGGTAATTTTTTCTGTGATCTTGTAATTATTATTGCTATTTGATTAAATATATTTGTTGTTAATTAAATTAATATTTTATTAGGGGTCTCATGTAAAAAAAAAAATACACAAAAATATTATTATAATGATTTAGATGTCTGTATATCTAATGTATAACTTTAGTCCACATTAATTTTGTTTATATGGATCACCTGTATCAAAAACATCGTTAGTCACATTTTTTATGACGCGGTTATAAAAATTCATCAGTTGTTATAAAAGTTCTTAATATCGACTGAAAGTTTAATGTTCTAAAGGTACATTAAAAGTAACATCTTGCAAAAAAAATTAAACATCCATACAATGGCAGTGTTAGGCAGCTGGGTCGGTTCTATTATTGTTGAAGATTATGAGGCGTTTACCCGCTAGAGGGTCATATTTATATGTCATTTAATTTTAAAAGCACATCTGTTCCGTGTCGCATCCATCCCCGTACGTAATAACAAACAGTACGCCGTTTGTCGTACGACTAAACTTTATCATGTTTTACGCTATAATAGTAGATTAATAGAAAAAATAAAATGACTCTTGCCATCGATAATTATCCTTTCCATACTTGATTATTATAAACTTGTACAAATAAGCATGTATTTTGATGTATGTGTATTTTTTAACACGTGTAATGCATGTTTAATATAGGTAACAACGTTTTGTGTGACGCTATGAGCTCGCAATTACCACAGTCCGTCGGTGAAAGTTGCATACCTAAGTACGTTTCCGAACAATAAACTGGTCGTGTCAAGCTAAACTCGACCGACCAGTTAAAATAAATTATTATTTTACTAAAAATGTACCGAGGACCGAGCTACCACGACGCCGTTCTACGGCTCTTCTTTACTCGCCACTCAAGACAGCTATCGTTAAACGTACACACTGAATTCGCATAGGAACAGACATTTTAATTTTTATTATTCAAATAATGTTTTTTACCTAAATCGTATCTTTTTCTCGATCGTGCTACTAGAATTTTAATCAACAGAAAAATCCTATCTAACATAGAATGAAATATAAATTTACTTTGATTTTTTTTAAAAAGTTCAGTGGTCATATACAAACATATTATACAAGTAATATGTAAAGTCGTTATACAACTTAAAACTAGATCGTACGTTGTCGGCAGCCTCGACTTGTGACACTTTCTTAAAATCAACCGATTAAAGTTTTTCATAAAACAGTAATTATTTTATAATGACGCAAATTTTACGGAATAAGATACAAATTGCATAATTCATAATAATTTTACGTCACTTTTGGAAACGTAAATATTCTAAAATGATTTTTTTAAATATTATTTACACGAAACTACTTCGTCATGGCTATGGTCCGCGGCCACGATATTGATAGGTCATTGACATCAAATGTGCACATATTGATATATATATTTTTTAGTATATTTAAACAAACACTTAATTGGTAAGTGTTTACAAAAGCATCACGTGCTTTTAAAACATCTTGAGCTAATTCAAACAACCGAAAACTTAGCGCCGTACTAAAATATCAGCTTGGTTGTGTACATATAATGTATAAATAAGTACATAGCTTCTGTTCAGAATGTACATAAAAAAGTTTTGTTTAGAATATCTTAAATAAAAGATATCATTTAATATTTATTAAAGACGATACTTAAGTAGCGTCTACCACAAAATTTAATATTAATATCAGCTTATTTAAAGTGTATTCTTATTGAGATTCGAAAATCTAATCAATTAACGAAGACTGTTATCATCTCATATAAAGCAATATTAAATTTAAACATGTATCAAGTACTAAAATAATTGTTGAATTCCGTTCACCATTTAAACTTTTAATGTAATTGAAATTTATTGTTAAATGTGGTTAATATTATTATAGAGAGCGTAACACAGACTAACGAAACCAAATGACCGAAATAGCCAATATATTAAATACAATTTGAAAACCACACTTCAATTGAGTTCCTAGTTTTTAATAGTGAAAAATGTATTTAGCCTATATTAAATTAGTTATTAACATTATGATCGCGAACTATTGAGCCTCAAAGAAATATCTGACTAAGATGAAGTTCTTTTTAGAGGCGCGAAACTGTCCCCTTATCTTGGTTGAAACAAAAACGGTGAAAACAAAAAGTAGTCTAAACGTAAAGTTTGTATGTCTTTCTTCTAAAAAACCAAACCCATACGTTCCAACTGAATTACCATATGTAGAATAATTGATAAGGTAGATCGAATCTAAATAAGGTCGGGTTCAGAATTAAATTTAAACAGTTTTTTTTTAATATTTAAATCAACCGAGACACAGAGATCAGACAAAACATAGCTTCAAATATTACTGTTTGAACATAATTATTTTAATATAGTACTGAACTATTAATAGTATAACTCACAATAATCTCGATGCTGTACGAACCAGTCGGTAAACTTAGTTTGGCAGGTTAGAAGAATTTTAAGTGACGTTAATTACTTGAAACGATTGAAATCGATCGGCGCCGAAATTACAAACTTAAACAAGGGTTGGCACGACCCAGCGACGTAGAATATTTAACATTAGTTTAAATAACAATGGTCTCTAGTGAAAAGTTTGACTTTAATGTACTAAAATGTGAGGTCAATAATTTCTGAAACTTAATCATTAATATTATTCAACATCAAGAACCTCTGGGCGGGAACTGGTCAAGGGCGATACTTGAACTGCAGTGCCAATTTCGCGACCCTAATGAAAATCTAAAAGCAAAACCTCTTTCTACATCATTCTCCGTCAACACGTATACTTATGTACAGTGGCTATATTGTTCGAAAACCTAGTCCATGTACTTCTCACAATCCCTTGAGTGTTGTCTCTAAAAAAAACACCTTTTTTTCGTTTATAACAGATGTCTCATGAAGTCTTATGAATATGGATGATTACAAAAGTTCGTTAAACACTCAACATTCTACCACACCTTTACGCAAAATTACCTTTTTTTATTAAATATTTTTATATGAAGATGTGTATGTTTTTGTTGAGAAATACTATATGGATATATCGAGTGTGATTTTTTTTTAATAAACGAATCAGAAGTAAATTTGGGTATCAGTAATTAAATGTTTTTTAAGTTCAAATTGCTTTTTCTTCCAACCTATTAAATGCTGATCTTAATCCACCTGCTCTTCCGTCCCATTGTAAAAGATTGTATCATTTTAAGCAGAAATTCTTCTTACCTTTTAATTTTTGGTAAAGATCCCATTCAATTTATCGGTCAAATATTTTCTTTTTACTTTAATATTTTGTATATTATATCGAATAAGTTATAAGTTGGGAACACATCATCGTGTATTTTCTTCGCCTGTATATTTTAAATTAAAAAAAAATACGATACATTTGTATATTCCTATGTTTTGTGATAGGTACAAATTATTCTCATTACATTTTATCGACCTGTACAATTAAATATTAATCATAATTATAGTCCTAAATCTCACTCACACGTATCATATTATTTCGTTACTTGCCATTAGAATGAATATTTTATAAATCGCGTTCGATACTTGGGAAATCCGATCATTTCACCTCTGGCTGATGACGTGGCCGTTCTAAAATTACTATACTATACTTATTGACACGTTCCAAAAATACGCTAAAGTCTTGGCAAAACTGTACGGCCGTTAACATCGCTGCCGCATAATGCCTCTACTTACATAAACCTATGTATATTAAACATGCAGCCACGCCGGTCGACGTATGTACGCCTCGTGTCGCCTGGGCCATGTGTCTCCTGTGTTCTACTACACAACACACGAACACGCACCTGATACATTAGAACATCCGACTGTTTGGATTCTGATAAAATAATCGTAGTATTTATAAGGATATATTATCACCGTCTTCCTATAACGTTAATAATAATATCATTAATGAATTATATACTACTAGCTTTCCGCCCACAGCTTCGCCCGTGTGGAGTTCGGCTATATCGCGTTTCCAAGAGAACCTTTCAAAAGTCTGCAATAAAAACTATCCTATGTTCTTTCTCAAAGTCAACTCTATCTATGTACCAAATTTCATTAAAATCGGTTCAGTAGTTTAGGCGTGAAAGCGTAATAGACAGACAGAGTTACTTTCGCATTTATAATATAAATTTAGTAGGGATTATATCGCACCAGATCTACCACTTTATTGTTTAATTGTTAAGAATCACGATTTCTAACACGTAAGTAGAAAAAATATCGGGACATGACAAATTATTTACTAAATTTTCGTTGGATTTTTTTTTTAATATGTGAAAAACATTTAAAAGTTTGTTCTACATTAGTATTTAGTCGACAATAAATTAATGAATCTGACGTAAAAATGAAATGTCATTAATTTATAAGATCACTGTGTTAATAATACATTATTACTAATCAGTTTAATAGTTAATTTAAATGTGTATTTTGTTAATGTATTGAGAGTACTTACTCTAATGACAATAGAAATAAAATTACGATATCAACCCATAAATCTGAAAAATATTTTTAGAATATGAAATTTATTTGTACATAATGATGATACGAAGTTATCACTTTTATATTAATATTTAATAATAATTGTATAGGTATAATTAAATTGAGTGGTATTTATATACTTCGATTTCATCAAGTACACATTTATATCTGAAATAAAACTCTTATTAGTTATTAATATATTTATAAACCTCCAGAAATTTATTGATTTTATCGTAACATTTAGATTGTCTTAGGATTATAGTGACGGTTGGCTGTCATTGTGCTTTGAGTGTAGTGTGTTGTATTGTGCGGGGTAACGGTAAATGACGCCATTTTGTTTGTTAATTCATGAGGTTCGGACGAAGACTTAGCAAGGGGACATTGGTGATATAGTTTTGTTACATACATACATACATGTATACAGAGAAAATTTTGAGTATAGATTGGTGGTACAGTTGCGTAGATTTTGTCTCTACATACATATAGAGAGAATTTTGGGTATAGATTACTTGCAGTACGAAATAAACATGTTCATGTTATTTACAATCTTAATTAACAATACTTTCTACATAGTGATATTTTATAGAGTGGTAGATATATTATGATCTTAGATTTGAATCACCATTTCTATGTACATTCTATATGTGTATCGCGTGTTATTTCAAGTATAATTTCACTGAAAATCAAAGTTTTATCTCACAATCACTTATATATCATAATTCATAATGAATTCTTTATAAATATAAAATTTGTATATATGTTTTTTTTTCATACAAGCGAATGGTAGTGTCGTCATAGTATGTGTAGCTTTAAGTCCGAAGGCATCGCGGCCACGCTTTTCGCTTTCATTTCGCGCTGTTAACCGGTTGGAGCTCAAGTTTATAAAGGGAGTAGTACTACGAATTTAAGGCATTTATATATACACACGCATGTTTGTATATATGTACTGTTGATTAGAAAATATTATGAGTACTTTGATGTGTGATGTAATAATGACCTCATTGTTAATATAAATAAAAATATATATTACTGTTAACGGAAATGTTATCATACTAATTAAAAATTAAAACGCAATTAATGTACAGAATAAGGTTTTTCTTTAATTATTATATATTATTAAAATAATAACATCTATATATTTTAAACATTCTATGTAATAGTAGGAGTAGAACAAGTATATTAAATGTTTTATGCAACGATCGTCAGGATATAAAGTTAGTCGAATTCCGTATTAAGTATCCTTGGTATATTATTCTATAATAACTCTGTCCATGAGAAATTATTCTAAACGCTTCTAATTTGTCCCATAAACCTATTAGTTTTCGTGTAATTTCGATACTAAGACGGATATAATGTAATGAGTGCAAATCGTTGGTGCCAATAAAATTTATTTCTCACATAAACATCGCAACTGATTTTATACGTAATACATCCGCGTTATATATAGACTGATAATTAATTTGGACATGTAGGTCATACTATATGTATACAGGGTGTTCTAAAAACTGTGTCAACCCTTGAAGGCATGTATACATATAAGTATAAGCTTATTATAAAAAATAGTAAAACTTAAAAAATATCAATCAGAGGTCAGTTACATAAACCAAATAAGTTTTAAATCGACATTAGAACACCCAGTATACTAGACGACCCGGCGAACTTCGTATCGCCCTAAAATCAAGAAATATCTGTTACGTTTTTTTATTTATATTTTTGGAGTTTACCTATTAATGCCATAAATCTCCGTGTTTTGAAGTGCAACAGAATGATTGACATATTAGTTAGTTGTCAAATCTAATGTCAAAAAAAACGTTTGTATCAACAACTACTAATAAATTAAAAATTAATTAAAAAAACATTGTCCACCGGACAAAATTGTGGATCTAAACCATTCCCAGATTGAACACACAAAAAATTTCATCAAAATTGGTTCATTCGTTTGAGAGAAGTTCAGTGAAATACACACTCACAGAAGAATTATATATATAAAGATATATTTCCTAATATGTGTATATATTTCCATCAGACTGCGTCTATTTCGAGACGTCGTCGACGTCTCCGTACCAGATCCGGCGGATAGAAGAACTAAACAAGACGTCGTCTGGCAACGTGGAGGCAAAAGTCATGTGCTTCTACAGGCGGCGGGACCTGCCCAACCCTCTCATACAATTAGCTGATAAGCATCAAAGTAAGTACTCGATATCGACCTAGCTGGAAGCGAATGACACATTTCATATACACATACTGTGTGTATGACAAACATTGGACTATTATACATACTATGAGTAGTATGAAACCCAAGCTAATACTTTTAAAGGCCATACGGAAGTCATCGACTAGGGATGCTGTTCTGATGCATTATCTAGAGAGTAGAGTTGATTTTTAATATCATTGTTTAAAAGTTTACCACCAATAGTAATTAGGAAATTGAAATAACCTAACTCTCTGTTAATATAGTCTGAAAAACAAAGCTCAGAACAAATACAATAGAATGACATAGTACATATATACGTAATATAATTCATAACGATTATTGAACAGTGGAAGTAAAGGATTCGACATTATATATAAATAAAACATAGTTAGGTGGAACTTTTATCATTGTGTAATGTTTGCTCAGCGACAGAAATCATTGATAATTTTTATCTGGGCATATCTATGTACGCGTAGTATTATCTTAAGTTACTTTAGAAGCAGCTTCCTTAGTTATTCCTCTCTTAAGCGACGGTTAGAAAAACTATATATATATATACCCATCATTTTTATGAAGGATTTTATTTGATTAGTTCTCCTTCTTTCTCTTCCGAATACTGTTCCCAGTACTATAAATAACTAGCTCTCCGCCCGCAGCTTCGTCCGCGTGGAGTTCGGTTATATCGCGTTTCCAAGAGAACCTTTCAAAAGTTTGGGATAAAAACTATCCTATGTACTTTGCCAAGGTCAACTCTATTTCTGTACCAAATTTCATTGAAATCAGTTCAGTGGTTCGGGCGTGAAAGCGTAACAGACAGACAGGGTTAGTTTCGCATTTATAATATTAGTAGGGAAAAGTTATCATGGGTTGTATATAAAGAATCAAAGCTTGTTATTTCGGTATAACCGTGCCTACATTTGGTCTTCAAATAGTTTAGTACGTCAGACGAGCCCATGTGTATGTACGTATGAGTTTGATTATTTTCTATAAATAGAAGATTATCCTATAATAACCATAGCACAGCGGACTATCGATCGCTGTGGGAGTCTAGAAACTTCTATAACAATATAATATACAAAATAAAATTTAACATAAGATTTACTCCAACTTTATTATCAAAGAGAAAAATTTAAGTATATAAATTTTAATATTCCATTCTATACATATTATGATTAAAAGATTTTTTAATAACAAAGCCATTGAGAAACCTACATCTTTATGGAACAATTTTATAAAAATATCTCGTAAGGGACTTACAACGTCTCGTTTTAGAAGCTCTATATTATGAAAGTAATAAAGTAAGGAGTTAAAAAATAAAAATTTAATAATTAATTTGAATTTACGGACTTGCAGCTGTAATATAGAACTTTTAAGTCGGATTTAGGAGTCCTACTTATTAGAGATGTATAGTGTTTTTTTTATTCTAATAAAAATATATTCATAAAGTTGTATTATAATTTTAATTTATGTTAATTTTGTTCTTTTACGTCAGTCATTATTTTAAAGTCTCCCCTTTTATATGACGTCTATAAGATCCCTATTGATCTGATTACAATTTTACTTAAGAAATATTTTACTCTATTATTAAATAAGAAATATTTTTTTGTTTATAACACCCACTGTAGCTTTCTATAAGTATTGACGTGGAATCTTTACCTTTTACCTTTATATGTGTAATATAATATTTATTTGCCATAAGAGATTGTCACTAAAGACTGTCATTTACCGAAGTGCCTCATGAATATATAAGTAGCCAGTTAAAAGGTTGGATTTGATACCAATTTTCAATTACGTGATGTGATCTACTCACAGGTATTGAGTTCACCGAGACATAGTAGGATAATTATATATATATTATATAACACATGATGTTTGATTTAGTTATTTTTATTATTTTAATGTAAGGGAATTTTTTTTTGTTCATATACCAATCAGTGGAAATACCTTTGACTAATTTTAGAAGTATTACTTCATTTAGTAAAACCAATTTTAACTTATTAAGAAGATTATACTATCCTTAGTGTAAATATATATTTTATTCGGACTATATACAGTTCATTATCAAATTTTAGAACATAAATGCCCTTTATGAGATCTAAGATTTTCGCGAGTACTCATTTAAATGAAACTAATATTTTCGGATGACATATGACATCTCGTCTGCCCGTGATCACGGTTGCTGTAAAGTAGCCGAAACGTCGGGACTATGTAGTCTATCCGAATCCTAAAATATTAGTTTCATTTAAATCGGTTCCCTTGTTAGGAATTGCATCTTCGAATTGCATGTAAAATGTATAAAATTCCTTAATAAAAAATCTACGATGGTACTATCAATTTTTTAGCGTTCAAAAATTCATATATAAAAATACGACATACGCTCCGTATGTAGTGTAACGACGCGAACTAATAGTAAGAGAACTGATCTCAAGTGTACATGTAACAAAACCGGATTGAATATGCGGTTGATAAAATTATTGACTTGCATTAAATATATTATTTTAATGAAAATAGTAAAAATTAAATGTTTTTAAAGCTAGTTTAATTACTTATTACTTTAAATTAATACCTTCCATTATATATTTTTTATATACTTTAAAAGCCTTAGTAATAATAACTAACTCATTAGTATCATCAAATATTATACACCTTAATTCAGATTGGGAACTTAATTATTTGACGAAAATTTGATTAAAACTCATTTCTATTTATTATTATAATTTTGTCAAAAATGCTTGTACGAGAAGTTTTTGTTATTACGCTTCTGCTTATTTTGTTATAGTTACCAAAGTCGGTAGTTCATGCTTGTGATATTATGAGTATGTAGTGAAGGAAAGAAAATGGAAGAAAGAGACTGTAAATGTATCCTTGTCGAAGTGATAGGTAGGTTTCTAACATAGAATTACTTATATAGTAAAAAATGGCAAGTAGTATTTATTTTTATTAAATATTATGTATTTGTTTGTGGCCATCTTGATTTATGGCACTCTTCCGTTTTTTAGTGTATATAAGTTATATATCCTTCTCTTAGTATTGTTTAAGTTTTATATAATACGATATTCTTACGACCTAACATCACAGATATTTTTGGTTACGAAAGATCGTTTCTTACTTCGTTTCATAGGTTTGTATAACTATGCAATGTTATAATCCGCTGCTTCTACATTTACTACTAGGGTATTGACGAATACTATGAATATATGCTATCATAATATGTTTGTATCCAATGAGACGAGATAAAAAACGTAAACAAATTTTCATTGTATGGAATACGCTACAGAATTTCTTGATATTAAAGTGATATTAAATGTTCACGCAGAATTTATTCACACCACCAAAACAACTGTTAGATCAGTAGGCGTCCAAAACTTTTTGGACCCCCGGGTCCCCGTCCCTTATCGAGCGACACTCCCTCAGGTATATATTTAGCCCTCATTTAATTGTGACCGGTGACCCTTGTTGATGTTACATTCTCATCTTCACTATATACAGTAATGAAATATTAATAAACATCGACCTTCGCTTGGCTTATAAGGAGATGGGAAACGGAAAAAAATTACGTACGATATATGTACGTGTATTACTACAGGACCGACGTACATATATGAATGTATTACATAGTTCGTATATATAAGTTGCATTGTGATTAATTTTTTATATGACAAAATAAATATTAGATATCTATCTATACATTTATATACATGTGTACCTATTTCTATAAGATTTAATTTAATTAATATTTTCTTGATTTTATTTGAATAGTAAAGGTTAAAGTATTGATTTTTTATTTGTTCTTAATAAAATGACGTCGTTAATTTATTTTGATGTCACAAACATTTTTTTTGTTGTTCCAATAGTATGACGTCTTATAAGTGTATTTTTTTTACCCTATCTGGCACTTATGATGATATTTATATAGTTTTAATAGCTTCCTACAACAACTTTTTTTTTAACTTACTTATTACCTTGACTCGCTTTCAAATGATTTTTAAACTCATTTTCATTAAAAACAGCATTTGTAACAGGTATTTTCATTTTTCAATGTTCTTATATGGATATTGAGTTTAAAAATGAATGTTTTGTACGAATTCATTTTCAATACAATAATGTCGATGGTCTGCCTCACCATTGTTTTATCGGAATACCTATTTAATTTCACAATGAGATTAAAACAACGAGCGTCTTGGAAGTTTGCCGCCCAGCCTTCCAATGTCAGCTTCTGAAATCGAGCACCGTCTGTTAGCAAGGCTACGTTGACACTAATACTTGGAATTTCACACTTTCCTTCGTCTAGCCGGCTAGTGTACACAAGGACTACGACGATTTCGTCACTAATTACGTGCGGTTTATGTTCCCCCGACCTGACCCGCTTGTAATTATAATAAAAGGGTTTTTTTTAATGGACAATCGAAATTAACATGCCTTACGAATGACCTCACAAGCGATCAGTGACTTATTGTATCTTTTATAGTATACTAGCTTTCCGCCCGCAGCTTCGCCGCGTGGAGTTCGGTTATATCGCGTTTCCAAGAGAACCTTTCAAAAGTCTGGGATAAAAACTATCCTATGTTCTTTCTCAAGGTCAACTCTATCTCTGTACCGAATTTCATTAAAATCAGTTCAGTGGTTTAGGCGTGAAAGCGTAGCAGACAGACAGACAGACAGAGTTACTTTCGCATTTATAATATTAGTAGGGATGTATATATTTTTATAAAACTTAACCACTACATTTAAAAAGTGAAAAACCCAACAAACAAAATTACAAGTCATATAGACTTAAAAGTAAAGGCAGTATCTGATGTTAGCACGGTTCCCATGGAGGTTCTAATGAAGAATACAAACATACAGCGGAGAGCACCGTTCATATGACGTCACCAGGGACGGACCAGCCGCCGGCGCATCGAAAGTGAGACCGTGACCGGGGCGGGGGGGGGAAAGGGGGGAGGAGTGTGGTAAGAGATGGACGGTCACAGTGGCGGGAGGGGCGCGGGGGGGCA